CTCACTGCTTTTCTTTTGGGAACTCGTGTTGTACTGAGGAGAATGTGACTTACTAAACACAAAAGTGTGTTACAGTACATAATGATCATCACCATGTTACAAAGCATGATTAAAACACCTCTGAATTTACACTGATAGGAGGCAAGGAGCCCGAAATATAAGATATAAATTGAGAAACAAAATTATTTCATTGTAAACAATTAGGTAGAACAAATATAATTAATTATCGTAATGATTACACTTACCTTGGTTTGATTGCTGGAGTGGCTACCTCCTTTTTCGTCTTCCGCTTTTGTGTTCTTTTTGTCTTCTTTGCAACTGGTTGTTACTCGTTCTCCTTCACTTTTCTAGTTTTCTTAGCCTTAGGAAGAGATGCGATGGGAGATTTTTGCTTTCCGTTCTCTGAATTCTCGTTGGCAGATGTGGCAGCAATTTTCATGTAATCCAACAGCAAACTCAAGAGAGCGGGCGATACTGATGGCAGTGTCTCTTCTAAGGTCTTCATTCGCTCTGCCATCTCGGTGTACATGGTTTTGTACAACTCACTTGTTCGCATCATAGTTTCATGCAAATGTACCTGAGTATTCACAATATCCTTCACTTCTTGAAACACACTAATAAGTAACTGGTCTGTTGAGAAGCGTATACGTCTCATGTCCAACACCTTCTGCGCTATATTGATTGCGAGCAGAAATGCTTTTCCAAAACTCTTCTGGTCTATGATAGCAATGATAACTGATTTGAAATGTCTCATAGTGGAAGGTGCAACATGGGATTGTGTAGTGCCTGTGTTGTCTGATTGGATGTAGAGTAGTACACATGCTGTCTGATTGGTTGGTTAACAAGACACGATAAATGGAATGGCAAACAACACAAATATTTAAATGATGTAGGTGGCCAACATTCCACCCATTTAAAATTTAATAGCAATGATTTCAATATATCAAATTTGCTTGGTTCCTATTCATAACATTTCAATACACTTTCCCATCTCCGTGAGTCATGATGTTTAATAAAGACGCCACTTAACTCTTTACCGGCTGGTATAGAGCCATAATGTAGGCTATCATTGTATACAATCGGGTTAAGGGTTCAAAAGACAGCTCCTGGAATTTATGGAATGTGCTCCTGAAAACTCCTTTGGTATGTAGGAGTACTCCTTGAAAAATGTTATTGTTCTCCCCTGGAATGCTATTGTCCTTCTTTGGAATGCTATTGTTCTCCTTAGGAATGCTTTGATGTCCGGAACTGATTACTTATATGCTACTGTCCCCAGCTCTGATATTCCTGGAATATTGCTTAAAACGGCGTATAAACCGTTTTGTCTCACTCACTCATTCATTCCATTGTCGGATTCAGTTTACAAGTGTCAAGGCTTTATATTTTGTGTAATGGAAACTGGTTTTGTTTGTTGTTGTTTAACGTCTCAGTCTGTGGTGGTTGTCAGTACATAATTGTGTTGGACCAGACAATCCAGTGATCAATAGCACACGCAGCTATCTAGGATAAGTTGATGCGTGTCAACCAGGTCAGCGAGCCTGACCACACGATCACGTTATTCGCCTCTTACGACAAGCAGTGGTTGTTGCTAAAGACTAATTCTAACCCGGATCTTCACGGTTCCGCTTTTCATAAGAACATCCCCATGATGCTGCGAGTTGATGGTACAGTCTTTATTAATCGATACATCCTACAAACTGCAAACAGTGGAATCAAGACCATATAATGTGAAAAAACAACTATAAACAATATATTTGGACTGAGGAAGGACGGCATTTTTATTAAAAATTATATATTAAATAACATAAATAATAAAAGCTGTATGAACTTAGTCATAACGTTGATTGAACACTATGTATTTTACAATTTAATATAACGCTGGAGAAAATTGCATTCTCTGCCATTTTGTCACGTAACTAAAAATTGAAAGAAGTGTGAAATTTGAGTATGTTTTCTAATAATGCCTACAACAGTTTGTAAGCTGTAATCTGTGGGTGGGTAATTTTGTGTATAAATAAATTATTCAGTGAAGGTTTAATGAATCCTGGGGATTGCAAGGAACTTGCATTCACATGACCCCTCCTGTGTTTCTGTTTGTGTCCGAAGAAGCAAATGAATTGGTTCTTAATGATGCGAAATAAAAACGTCAGAACCGCCGATGTATATTATACGATTGTTTTATTCTTACATGTTTTCAAACAAATTATATTTTAGAAAATAGAGCCATGTAGCAGTACTCCAGCTCACTAAGCGCCGGTAGAGTTACAGTTTGATTATATCATCGAAATAGTCGCTATTTTCAATTATCTTTCGTGGCAGTGGTTAAAGCGTTCGCTCGTCACGACGAAGGCCCGGGTTCAATTCGCCACATGGCTACAACGCGTGGAAATGGTGTCTCCCGAGGGGATATTCCTGGAATATTGATAAGCGTCTTTGTTTATTTCTTTGTTGTGTCATTGTTACCACCACCACAAGATGTTCAACAACAGCAACTTCTACTACTACTACTACTACTACTACTACTACTTCTATTATTTTTACTACTACTACTAGTTATTACAACTACTATAACCACTAATGCTATTGTTATTACTACTATGTATGACCAGAAATTATTGAGAATTTTAGGAATATGTGTAATTGGATTTCTAGTCTAAACAAACTTGACCAGCTATCAAGTGCTAGGTTTCATTCAAGAGAGACAACTCCATTAATCCGTTTTCATTAGTTTGTGAAGAGTTATCCCCCTTTGTTTACTTGCTCGCAGACGACATTTTCAGTGATCCTCAGTATGGATGATTTAGAGAAGAGGAAGTTGATTTTAGAGTATGATAACAAGGACATCAGATCAGTTAAAGTGATTTCAAGTAGAACAGGCATCCCTTAGTCCACTGTTTATCGTGTTTTGAAAAATATTGCAAATGGATATGGCATTTAGCAAAAATATAGGCAAATTAGATATGGCATTGAGCACCATGGGAGTGACGCAGGTAGGCCCAGAAAATTGTCTATCGGTAACAGGGGGCGGATGGTATTCTTGTTTCTAAATATAAAAGAAGGAGTTTAGAAATCTTAAGGCTGGATATGATTGATAGAGGAACTGTGGCAGTCTGTAAGGAGACAATTAGAACTGAGCTGCACGCAATGGGTTGGCAGAAAAGTCGAGGAATTCAATCACCGATCATGAAACCTGAAAAAAAGGAGCGAAGGTTGAACTGGTGCTTAGAGCATAGAATTTTTAACTGGGAAAATGTGATTTTCTCAGATGAAAGTTCTGTGTGGCTGTTTCCTAATACACTGAAATTCTGGACCAAACAAACTGAAAAACCTTTGCATCAGCGCTTAAAGTACAGTCCGAAATTTAACGTGTGGGGGTGGCATATCTGTATTAGGGGCAACGCCCCTCTGTGTATTTGAAAGGAATATGAACAGTGAGCGGTACACAGATATTCTCGATGGACATTTACTTCCATCTGCTCACGTGTTCTATGGAAATTTTGGATTTTCCAGCAGGACAACGACCCAAAACATCGTTCAAAGCATTCACAGGCCTGGTTTCGGACCCAAAATATGACATTATGAGATTGGCCAAGCTATAGCCCTGACCTCAATCCAACAGAAAATCTGACAAATATTGCTGAAATTAAAGAAGAGGTGGTCCGATATTGGGACAGCATGGAACACGACTTTCTAACTTCTTTGATCAGTAGTATGCCCTGCCGCATTGAAGCCTGCACTGCTGCCCATGGTGACGTGACAAAATACTAACTGTTCACCTGTCTTTGAATCTGGAGTTATGTTCTGCTAATATTCACATTTAATACGTGAGTAATCAGTGAAAAAAATAAAACATTACAATCTTTAAATTCTCAATAATTTCTGGTTGTACTGTACTTCTGCTACTATTACTACTACTACTATAACTACTACTACTACTACTACTATTACTACTACTAATACTATAACTACTATTGCTATTATTACTACTACTTCTATTATTTTTACTACTCTTACTACTTATTGCTACTACCATTACTACTACTACCGTTGCTATTATTTCTACTTCTACTACTACTACTACTACTACTACTACTACTACTACTACTGCAGCATACCAAAGTGGGTGCGTATGGTTTTACGCCGCTTTTTGCAATATTCCAGCAATATCACGGCTGTGGACACCAGAAATGGGCTTCACTCGTTGTACCCATGTGGGGAATCGACCCGGGCCTTCGGCATGACGAGGGAACGCTTTAACCACTTGGCAGTAACCATGCTTGTCGTAAGAGGCAGCTAACGGGATCGGTTGGTCAAGCTCCCTGACTTGGTTGAGACAGTTGATTCCCAATAACGTAGATCTATGCTCATGCTGTTGATCACTGGATTGTCTGGTCCAGACTCGATTATTTACAGACCGCCGCCATATAGCTGGAATATTGCTGAATGCGACGTAAAACTAAACTCACTCACTCACTCACTTGGTTTGAATGAGCTTTTATTGACTAATTCTCGCCGCTAGTAGCTGTAATGTTGCTGATGCTGCATAAAACACTATTCATTCATTCATCAATGTGGTTATCTCCAGAGAGCTGCTTCATTCTGTCTCTCCTAGCACATTCAACTCACACTGCTTGACGTATAATGAATTCTGTCCAAGGCAGTATTAAAACTCAACTCACTCACTACTACAACAACTACCATTAGTTCATTATGGTAGCGCCCTATATGAGCTGTCCAGTGGCAATGTGTTTGTGTATATATTTTAATCAAATGCAGATAAGCAACAATACAGTTATTGAAAAATAATAAATTAAATGGAAATTAATCAGAGAGGGGGAAAAACCCACTCAACCTAGTTTCTGATCCCTATGTAAACTCACGTCATTTGTTGGAGGCCAACCTGACGGGACAGATTAGCTTCACGCAAGGCATTGTGGGTTCCTACATATAGGTGGGTGTTACTTTGACAAGCAACATCACTGTCCACTCAACACTTCAAGATGGACATCCTGGGGATTGTAGATGTTCCACTGTATGTCATCCTGGTCCTAGCGGCTGCTGTGCTCCTGTATATGTAAGTATACACACACACACGCACGCACGCACGCAAACAAAGTGAGGCATCAATGGTTGTGCGTCTCCGACCTAGCATTACATCTATAAGCCTCCAGGTCCTTATGAACTTCTCTGTTTTGGTCGAGGTCGAGGATAAACGCTATTATGCTAATGTTCTCTTTTAACAACAATGACAAATAGTTTTCGATATTGGTGAGTTCCACAATAGGTCATATTGAGAAATATAACGATATTATATCGAGTCTAAGAAACTATGTTAAATGCTTGTGCTTTTGAGAAATTCATTACTGGACATAACGGCCCATGAACTTCCATTCCGGATTAATTACTCCTATCTCCAGTGCATACCACCTGTTTGACCAGTACCCGTTTTGGTTCAGGGATGAATACTCCTGACCAGTACATAAACTAAGGAAATGATACACGTTATACAAGCGTTAGATACCACTACAAAGCTGTCCCTCCTGTAGGTATGATTTATAGAATACAAGTTTCCCTTACACACTGTATTATTGGTGGGAGTAGCGATCTGGTTCATGGCCACCGCCCCAGCCCTCCTATAACAAACTGCAGCGGTCAGACTGCAATATTTTGACCAGCCACTCAGAGCACTGAATGTGTTTAAGAGCCTGTAGCATCGATTTGGACATTACACCAGCTCCACTATCAATGGTGTTGCAGATACGGAACGTGGAACCACGCATACTTCAAGAAGCGGGGCATCCCTGGACCAACGCCCTATCCACTTGTCGGGAACATGACTGGCATTGTAGGTTCACTTATAACTGTTGACGCAATTCGGAAATGCCTTTGACTTTTGCAAGTATATACATATGGTAACATTCTCATTTTGACACGATACCCATGATACCATTGATCTCTTAGAACCTAGCCATGTTGATACTAGATACAAGATATTAGATGTTTGCCGGCTCTTGCTGAAACTTGATACAAATAAGCAGAGAGGTCACCTGGGCAGTGAAACACCAGATGCCATGATAAAATTTCAATAAATTCATTTCCATCATGGTAGTGCCAATCTCTGCTAAGAGTTGGCTCTATTGACTAGTTCTGACTGAATCAGGAGCACGTGTTCATGGTTCACTATCAATATGTGCCCATGTTAGGTGATCATGGTGGAAGTCAAAATAGAGAGCTCTATCCGACAGCATGTTGGTTACTAATGTGTAATATTTAGAAATGGCATCCACATATTTTCCTTAAAATTTTTAGAGAAACTTGAAACAGGTCTTGAATGATACAATCCTGATCATCATGTACAGATGCAAGATATGTTAGGACTTTTATAATGTTATGAAACCTATGCGCGATTGTACTTCACAAAAGTCGGAGATGCTGGACTATATTGATAAAATACCACAAGTTCTCATTTCCATTATCACAGGAGTTCTTCCATACAATGGCAACCTGGAGACAACAGTTTGGAAATGTATTCGAGGTAGGTACACGTGCTGTTATGTAAATGAGAAAAGACAACAGACGGGCCTTAGTGATCTAGATGTGATTTAAATCTGGACATATCTTTGCAACCTTTGAAAATGGTCTCACCATCGATACCCGTTGTGACTGCCGTCGATAAGTCGACTGGCTGTTGTGAAAATACTCAGCTCGGTTAATTGTTAACTAAACTTGTGTAAGCGCTGTCACGACAAGGGACACGAGGACTGGCTTCACACATTGCACCAATTAGGGGTTTAAATGGACGGTTACATTAACATTTAGAAATTTGTTATTTGTTTCACTTTAATCAAAATGGGTGAGTTCATACTAAATATGCTCGAGGAAAAGAAATGAGAAACAATAGGTTTACTTGTGTTTTAAGGAAATCAACAGAAAAAGATCAAGGCAATATCTGAAACAGCTTTGGAAACAGTGAGCCACTGTATGCTGCTGTATACAAAACAATACTCTCTGTCTGATTTTGTGACTTAAATCTGTTATGTCTCACAGAGTCTTCCAGGGTGCAGCGCCATGTGTTGTTATATCTCACAGAGTCTTCCAGGGGCAGCTCCATGTGTTGTTATTATCTCACAGAGTCTTCCAGGGGCAGCTCCATGTGTTGTTATATCCGATCTGGACATTCTGAAGGAGGTCTTGGCCAAAAGTTCAAACGTTTTCAGAAACCGGAAGGTAAACATTTTGTAGCTTCATTTGTCTAACTTTACTGATACATATATAAGTACAAACAATGTAATGAATTACAAGCATGTTATTGTTTTCTTTACGAACGTCCACAATTGCAATACATTACCAGTTTTAAAACTATTTAAGCTTGAGCCAGTCAATCAACTGTTGTAGACACACATGACGTTCAGTCGACAGAAATGTACCCAATGAGTTTGAATTCCATATAATTCTATTCTATTATCACATGCTTCTCCAAGACACAACGAGACAATTTATCCCACGCTGTATAGGTTCATATTCGTTCCAGAAATTTGCACTTGTACCCTACCCGTTCAGTTTGGGGTTGTTTTTCTTGGATGATGCTCCCTGGAAGAGAGTGAGAAGCATCATCACACCCACCTTCAGCAGCAGAAAACTAAGACAGGTGAGTGACTTCCCTTGTCTAAAAAGGGGCACACAATGCACTTGAGCACTTCACCGAAACCTGGGTAACCTGTCACGTTAGACACGTTAGACTACATTGTCACATAGATAAATATTTTTTACGCTGAAGGACACACTTTCTTTGGAGTATCAAAGGATGTCGATCTAAACTTCAACATAGTAAGTGGGTTACATCACGTCACAATGTTGATAGTGCTCCAGACAACCAGTGTTGTCCGTTCCCTGCTGTAAAGGCTAGACACGACTTGTGGTCAGAGAGAGGGAGTTAAATCACGTAACAGTATTGATGGTGCTCCAGACAAACCAGTGTTGTCCGTTCCCTGCTGTTATGGCTGAACACGACTTGTGGTCAGAGAGAGGGAGTTAAATCACGTTACAGTATTGATGGTGCTCCAGACAAACCAGTGTTGTCCGTTCCCTGCTGTTATGGCTGAACACGACTTGTGGTCAGAGAGAGAGGGAGTTAAATCAAGTTACAGTGTTTATGGTGCTCCAGACAAACCAGTGTTGTCCGTTCCCTGCTGTTATGGCTAGACATGACTTGTGGTCAGAGAGAGGAGTTAATCACGTTACAGTATTGATGGTGCTCCAGACAACCAGTGTTGTCCGTTCCCTGCTGTTATGGCTGAACACGACTTGTGGTCAGAGAGAGGGAGTTAAATCACTTTACAGTATTGATGGTGCTCCAGACAAACCAGTGTTGTCCGTTCCCTGCTGTTATGGCTAGACACGACATTTTGTGGTCAGAGAGGAGTTAAATCAAAGTTACAGTATTGATAGTGCTCCAGACAAACCAGTGTTGTCCGTTCCCTGCTGTAAAAGGCTAGACACGACTTGTGGTCAGAGAGAGGGAGTTAAATCACGTTACAGTATTGATGGTGCTCCAGACAACCAGTGTTGTCCGTTCCCAGCTGTTATGGCTAGACACAATTTTGTGGTCATACAGTATTGAGTGCCATATGTATTGAAGTTACTACAAGGCAACAATCAGAGAGAGCAACCTGATCACAATGGAATTGTTTTATGGAATCTGACCAGGAAAGGAAACTTTATAGATTGTGTGACACCTGGCTACAACAGGAAACCAAGTGTGCATCAAACATGAGCCTAACACCAACTGATTTCAATGTGTCTAATTTTTACAGCAGACAGTAACTGCTTTATTCGGATATAGAGAAACACAACAAGGTAAAGTTTGTAGCTTTATCGGGTCAGGAAACAAAACTTCCCATATTGTTTACCCAGGGGTTCCATATTTGTTCATAATTGTTTCTCCTGGGATATAAGCCATTGCAACAAGGTGACGCAGCGCCATTTAACTGAAGTGCCGGTGCAAACACCTTGGGTGTTCCTACTGTTTTAAAGTGATTCCTAAACACATGGTCATGAATCGTTCAAATGGACAGATGTTTCTTGTGATTATGGATAGGGTTTTGTCGCTCTTTCCGTTTTAGACCCGTGAAAACTCGGGTTAGAATTGGTCTTCAGCAACCCATGCTTGGTGTAAGAGGCGACTAACGGGATCGGGTGGTCAAGCTCTCTGACTTGGCTGACACATGGCATCGTATAACAGTTGCGTAGATAGATGCTAATGATGTTGATCACTGTATTGTCTGGTCCAGGCTCAATTATTTACAGACCGCCCCCATATATGGCTGAGTGCGGTGTTGAACAACGACCAAACTGAACTATTTTTATTTTAGATGTGTATCGCAATCAATGACTGTGCAGAGACCCTCACAAGCAACTTCTCCAAAGTCATCGGGAAGCAGGAAGGGGTAAATGTGAAACAGTAAGTATCGTGCTTACATTTTATTCAATCATGTCTTCATAGTGATAATTAAATGGACGTCATCAGGCAGCGCCAAAAGTAGCATGTGATCTAAATGCTTAAAAGTAATTCATACTCGCTGATGTCATTTCCAAATTTATTCGACTTGGATCACGTTTGTTCAGGCGTACACCTGCTTTGCCTTTGCATGTGTTTGTGATCTGTGCCGCCATTGTGGCAGAAACATGCGAACGCATGATAACATCACTATTTAACAGTTTCAGTGACTTTAAAAAGCATTCTTATGATATAGTCGGAATCGATCACGGTATAATCACGGAAATGATTTCGCCAACACTACAGTGTATTTCGCAACACATTGACTCGTGGATTACGGTTAGACATGGTCATGGTAACGAATCCCGTAGTTAAATGAACCCTACGTGCACAGGTTTGTGTTTGTAAAAACAATTTGTTGTCATATTTTTCAGGTACTTTGGAGCTTTTACTGTTGATGTGATTTCACGAACTGCCTTTGGTATAAAGGTCGATTCTCAAAATGATTTCAGCAACCCTTTCGTTACTAACGTTAAACAAATGTTCACACCACCGAGGTTCATCAGACCAATACTACTACTAAACGGTGAGTGTATTATATAACGCCCATCAAGATCCGGGTTAGAATTGGTCTTCAGCAATCCATGCTTGTCGTAAGAGGCGACTAACGGGAACGAGTGCTTAGGCTCGCTGACTTGGTTGACACACGTCATCGTATCCCAATTGTGTAGATCGATGCTCATGCTGTTGATCACTCGATTATTTACATCTTTGAACTCATTGAATGCCCTCCGTCTTAAAACAATAGTCACCTTCATATTTCCACCTTTGCCAAAATGAAAGTAAGAGGTGTCAGGCAAGCATTGTGTTGTGACAACGACGTAATTCACCCTGGGGAAGCCTTTTAACACTACCAGGAGGAAACACTATAAACCAGTCGCACTCCCGCGTCCTTGACATCAGTTGACCTCACAGGGGATTAACAAGTTTAAAAATATAAATTAGCCAACGCATTCCGTAATAGGTAGGGATTATACTTTTCAATCACCCTATGTTTTCTTGTTCGTTTTCTTAAATAGAGACCCGCCAGGAATCCTTAATTTGGGACTACTTATAACTGCTGGTTTGGTTTGAAATGCTAGCTAGGAAGTTTCCAGGACTTAAGTAAGAAGCATACAATAAGGTTGAGGATAACTGTAACCATTGATTCACTCACTCCGCTCTCTGTGGTATACACAGCTATGCTGCCATCACTTTCAACGTTCCTGAAAACAGTTGGCCTTGGAGTCTTTTCTCAAAGTATCATCAAATTCTTTGACTCGAACATCAAGGAAATGATCAAACAGCGCCTGAATAACCGGGAAGAAATGCGAGAGGTTGGTAGAACATTTTCAATGCTGTTGGTGATGGTCAGTATATAATTTATTTAGGACATTTTTAATCAATTACAAAAATATGTGCAGATATTGTCGAGTACCAGTGCTTCTGGTTTTGTATGTCAGTAGTTAAGCATCGTACTTAACTTACGGACCGTCAAGCAAGTCTCTAAGTTCTTAATATTTATTGCTCACGTCGAAATATTCTGATCTGAAGGCAGTCTGAACGACTCGTATCATCCTCTATATCCTATATGAATATCTTGGTCTATCAGAACGATAACTTTCGCTTACCCCTGCATTTATTCCCATGGTTCCCGTGAGCGCAATATACCCACACGTGATTTTCATTTTCCAATATGCTTGGCTACACTAAGTGGTCAGACAGCGAGTTGCAAACTAACCAGAGTGTTGGTTTGACAATATCAACAACGTAACAGTCAGTCCAACTGATTGTGATGGAGTTTGCGAGAAAGTCAATATTGAAAAACTTGTTGACAGGCAAAAGAAATCCCTCAAGGGATGTCTCTTTGTGAATATTATATTGGCGGTTGCTTTGGCTTTGGGATAATGCGCGAGTTATCTCCCTTACTCTTCCTCTGTATCTTATGTCGACAATTAATTGGTAGAAAAATCTTATTAAATATCAGGGCGAGGAAATTGCGGGTCGTAATAACCATGGGAATGGTTACGGTAGGTTTACCGAAATGCAAGACCTGGATGTATGGAGGATGTGCCTGCATTCGACTCGTGAGTAGAGTAAACCGCCCATGTCAGGGGTGAATACAATATACAGCTACGTGAAATCGCTTCACTCACCATGAAATGATTGGTGAAGATGAGCATCGTGATCAGTCGGCGGAGGCTGTTAGTACCATGGAAAGGTGCATTGATGCACCATGAGAGTTTGTGAAGAGCAAGCGGGCACACCTGATATGAACACTGGAGTGGATTGTATCTAATGTGTGGTGTCCTTAAAGGTTATCAACCGTTGCCATTGCAGCAGAGAACAGACTTCCTGCAACTCCTGATGGATGCGGGGGTGGAGGAGGGACAAGGCTGCCCTGGAAAACATTCAGTTAGACGTAGGTAACCATCACAACATTGTTTTAGAAATGACATACTGGTTTCTTTATAGAAAGTCAAGACCGGGTATTCGTTAGCAGTGATGTTCCATTTTATACAGCTAAATGATGCACATGCGTCTTAATTGACGCAACCGCCTCCGTGGTGTAGTGGTTAGAGCGTCCGGTCGCGGGTTCGATCCCCGGCCGCGTCATACCAAAAAGATGGTACTTGTTGGTCCCTGCCTGGCGCTCGGCAGTAATGGGTACAGCTCGGCTCGGAGTCAGTATACTGTGTATAGTTGCTTCTCTTTGGTGTACGAGCTATAACAGTTATTGAAATACTGTCTATAGCAGCATGAAACTCATTTTCCCCGGAACACTAACAGAATGTCACCCGCTTCACTTACAGGTCTATCTACCGATGAGATAGTTGCCCAAGGGACGGTGTTCTACGTTGCTGGGTATGAAGCAGTTTCTTCAACTCTGAACTTTGCCTCGCACTACCTGGCCACAAACCCGGATGTACAAGAAGGCATATGAGGAAATGAAAGAAAACTTGAGATGTCAGTTTTATTTATCGTTTTCCACGACAACGTAGCAAAGACATCCATCCAAGTTTCACTTTGTTCTTTCAGGGGAGAATGTTAAAAATGTCTTGCAGCTATATGGCTGAAATAATACTAATGCCACGTTAAGTGTTAACTCACTCACTCACTCTGGTCACTGGTTTGTCTAGTCCAGACACATTTCTGGTGTCCCCCGCCGTGATGTTGCTGGAATATTGCTAAAAGCGGCGTAAAACCAAACGCAGTCAGTCAGTCAGTCTAGTCCAGACACGATTATTTATAGACTCCAGAATTTTAGCTGGGAATATTGCTCAGTGTGGGGTTAAACAACACATAAATAAACTATAAATAATAAATAAACTAACAATATCCCTGAGCAAATTCAGTAAGTTAACTGAACTAAAATTCGCAAATGAATACAGGCCGAATACCTATACATCTTGAGTTATCTGCCCTTCGATGTGTAGCAATGTCTGAAATGGCAGCAAAACTGAAAGCAAAGAGAGAAAATCAGCCTCGGTTGTCAATGGTCCCCAATCAAGGACATCTTCGGAAGAACCATAGGTTATTTTACACTTACACAGTGCCTGGTCAATGCGATGGCAAGTTAAACGATGAGTAAAGTACCAGTCTAAGTAAACTTAGGCTCAGTATTATTCGTTACACTGCTATACGAGTCTAACAAAACCTTGTAGAAGGTCGCGTCAGCTAACCTTTGAGCGACCTATGACCGTCCAATCAAACGCGAGACGGCCGAACGGATTTAACCAATCAGACAACGGCTACATGTTAGGGTTCGGCGGGACTTACAAAACGGTTTTTGGATTTTCTCTTCCCTGGTCGCTGACACTGATCTATCAATAAACGAAAATCTGCATGAAACACACATATTTGACCTGCAGTATATACGCTTAGGTTTTTTTTAATGACATGGTTACTATTAGCTTATATTTCCGCAAGATGACATCCTTGAATATTGACAAAAACGCTATTTTCAGCGATTGTTTACTCGTTGCGTCCTCCATGTGTATCACTCGGAAGCGATCGTGCGGAAAATAGCATTCGGAATCGTTCGAGTTTTTTAGGTAAAGGTTCAAACGGTATGTGCGAATGTGAACTTTTGCGATTTGGTAAGCTGTGTTCTGATTGGTCAGTCCCAAAGGTTGCTAATGCGACCTTCTACTAGGATTTTGTTAGACTCAGTATAGCAGTGTAACGAGTAAAGTACACCATGCCTTTCCGTGAACTGCAGAGTTATCTCCCTCGAAAATGAAGTTTTAATGTATTATATAATTATGGATTCAGACTAGATTTCAAAGCTTTGCTTTTCTTGATACTTATCGTGGCCCAGACGCCTTAAACGCCGCTATTCGCCATTCACCATTCACAAAACCTATGATCTGGAATTTGAATCGTAGATTAATAAAATTAGCCCGGATTTGTCATACACTGCAACCCGCAATACTTCCTCACACATTAACATGACTAATGCTGATATGGTTTACATAAGGAAGTTAAATATCAAAGTTGTGATATATATCAGTTTCATTCATTACTTACCCCTAGTTTGTGCTACACATTTTAAGGGTTCCGTGCAAGTTTTACATCTATATCTGTGATGTCCTTGTTGTTTTATCTGTCCCATCGACATACTGATAATCCAGCTTTATGTATCTTGGATGTATTAATTGTTTGCATTTGCATGGTTGATATACCTCCGATGTGACTACAAATCTTAACTCAGTCACTCATTGTGCGGCAAGTTACTTTCTATTGTTTGTCTTCAGGAGGAACCAAACTACGACAACATAGGAAAACTGAAGTATCTGGACAACGTCATCACTGAGACGCTGAGAATATGTCCACCGGTTATAGTGTGAGTTTCCAAATATTATATGTTATCAAGCTGTTAGATTAACTGGCGATTTTTAAATTACCGGAACGATCTGATTACTTGAAGCAGGATTTATACCACATTTATTCCATTTCCAACCACTGCTTTGAAGTGATTCGGGTAACCATTCATGTATAGCTTCATCAAAGTAGTACAACTTGCGTGTTACTGACAAGATTTGAATGTGATATGTTTGCGTGAATACGCATACCACAGACCTTCTATATCTATTTCTGACACGAGTGTGTCCTGAATAAAATGTCACATTCCATTAACATGTTAATGTATCCTTTAACACTGGGTTTGGATGTCACAAGCGTTGTACATACATACAAGCAGGAAGGCCAGCAAATCCACGTATCAATGACAAATTGTTGAAGCAGCATTGTGACAAGTCCGAAATTGTAAAGGACCGTTCGCATTGGTCCTTCGACATTACCTGTTGTACCTGCCACAGATTACCCAGACATTGGCTCACAAAATTAAATCCCCGATGTCGATTTTTTACCGACTCTTTGACACCTCTGTCAACAATTATTCGAAGGATTCATTGTATGCATTGTACATGTCATTCTATAATCCAATCTATGGTTTACCAACTTCTGAAAGGTACTCCAACTACAACATATATAAAATCAACTATCAAATATCATCTGCCATTTTTAGTAAGGACTGTTCTTTGGGTGAACCGATATGTGCTTAAAATTACATTCCACGGGCAAATGAACTTCTGCATTACAAACTTGATGTTTAAACATTTACAAGTCACCTTTGCTGTCATGGATGTTGACGAGGGCACAAGATGACATGATTCATGAGGCGGTAAACTTATAGCCATGGAATGGTGCGAATACTGGTACGACGCTCTGTACTCATTCCTCAACCCTGCTAACCGTTTGTTTCAGAATTACTCGCAGAGCGTCTGAGACTATTCGAATCAAGCATGTGACAATCCATGAAGGTCAAACCGTCTTTATCCCTGTGTTTGCTCTACAACGAGACCCTCAGCTTTTCAAGGATCCAAATGTATTTAAACCAGAGAGGTAAAGATATGCCATGTTTAGGCAATATCGTGTGCGTTGGAGTATCTCAACACCTTCCTCGTTTACATCTTGTCTGACCTGCTTCCAGCTCTCCCTCATAGTGTCATCACATTTTTTTTTCCAATCAATATTGTTTTAAATGCCTTAAACGAGATTTACTTTAAACTGAATGTTGAGATTTGTGCTCTCGCTCTGAAACAAAATGATGGACACGTTCACCGGTAGGTACAGTATCAAATTATGTTTACAGGCACGATGAAAAGTCAAATCCACTCTCATTCCTTGCTTTTGGATATGGGCCCCGAATCTGCATTGGGATGCGGTTAGCCAGGGTGGAGATGAAAATAGCCCTGGTTCACGTCCTCAGGAGAGTCAAGTTTGAACGTATGCCAAACACACAGAGGTACAATCATTTTGGAAGGTCCCGATCACTTAATACCTAACGGGAGAGGGGTGTAAGGGGCGGGGGCGGGGTCTGGGGGTAGTACTCTACCCTTCGTTGTTTTGACACTTCTTTGGTCATTATATAAATAAATATTTTATATCTAAAATTAAAATGCGTGTAATTAATCTTTTTCAACATTTGAATTACGTCCACATACATTTTATATAAGTGAGTGAGTGAGTTAAAATTTAAAAGTCACATCGGCAATCTTTCAGCCATAACACTTTAGCCATGACTAAAACAAGTGTTTAACTTCATCATAAATACAGGGAAATCACTAAAACCTGTCAACGAAGGACAGTAAAACCAACTAGAATATCACAGACACACAAAATATAACTAGTATTTATCTTTAAAGCTGAATTTCAAATTAGGACAATACAATATAAAAACGGGCTATAGATCGCCAGCAACTGAAGGTAGATCCACCATACTAGGGACCACGGGGACTTACAGTACCTTTTATACCACCCCTTCAGCCGCTGGCGATTGTAGGAAAAATTAAGCCATAATTCAAAATCACACAAATGCTACGTTTAACAATTCTGGTAAGTTGCATTTTATATAAAATCATGGAAACAATAATTTTCCTGTACATCATGCGGTCTCCTCAAAGCCACGTGCACAAATCTTAAATACAAACATCACAAATGAGACTCCGGGTTTAACTATATACATTTATTATATTCTTAAGGGTGAAATGCTGTAAATATTGGTGAAAATAAAAAGGTATTTTCACTGAGTAGAATATCACTTTTGCCTGGAACTACTTTCAGCTCAAGGGCTAGACTGTAGTTGGGTTGCGTAATAAAATGCAGACTTACTCGATGTCTCGATCATAATTTTATAAACAATGATCAAAACATGATAAAATAGAATATTTTGTTAATGTTGTCAAATAACATGTATATTTCACCTCGTGGTCTGACAAAGTTTATATGTTCAGTCGTGGCTGCGTCACTCGTGAACATATCAACTTTGTCAGACCCTCGATGAAATATATACGTTATTTGACAACATTAATAAAATATCCTCTATATCATCATTAAAGCTGAAAAATGGTATGTACTCACTATCGTGAAAATACCTTGACAGAGGTTTTGAATATTTGACGCTGACTCTGGGATGTGTAATATGTGTGCTTATCAATTATTTGTTTTTTTCCTATGAGTGAGCCGAATGCCTTTGTGAACAGTATTTCAGTTATATACCGTGCCTAGTATGGTTGTCTAAACTTTGGCTGCCACCGAGCTCTAGCCCATGTTTATATTGTGTTGTTAATTGACAGTTTACAATTTTACACGCTATCAAACTAGTTTTAAATAAAATTTGATAATCTCGTTGTTATGCTGTCCTTTGGCGACAGGATTTTACACGGTTTGAGTATGATCATTGTTGTATAATTTTTTCTGGTCATGACATGGCTGAAATATTGTCGATGTGGCGATAAATTCTAACTCACTCACTCATAAACCCACTAACTCACTCACTCACTCACTCACTCACACACACAGGGTGCATGCTGTCCTGAATTCGAACCCACGATCAAAGGTTTCATCAACGTTTTGTCAGTGTAAGCAGCCAGTGAATCTGATGACATGGGCGCGTGTGAGGAATTAATTTTTCATTTTACCCATGAACGTGCAAATACCTGCAGATCAACAGGAAGTAAAGATGTGTCCCATTTGCTTTGTTTACAGGATGAATTGGCATTCAAGAAAATCAACACCCTGAAACCGGCTGAAGATATTGTGCTGAGACTGTCCCACAGATGCTAAAGGATGACGCCACCGTTGTGTAGGACAAAAAGGAAAATCAACCATTGTTTATTCAGAATGCCAAAACACATTAGTCAGGGGTATACAGTGTACAATTGTGACAAATTGTGTAAACATTATTATCACTACAATTGGTATTACGTTATACAAACTCTGTTGTACCATGCCGTCATATGATTCCGTGGTACTTACGTTTCCGTGGTATATTCTAATGACATAATTTCTCACGAGCCACTCGCCAAATCGCGCCACCTATCGATTGTTTACGTTCATCAGTTGATCGGCACGGGTCTGAACAAAAAATGTTCAGACTTTCATCAATTTGCGTTCGTACAGTCATCTACTATTAAAACTAATGCAACTTTATGTCTAGCACGTAATGCATTTTTGCGCGATCTTTGCAAACATTTTCTATGAACTTACTCAGCTTCAAAAGTTGTCCAAACATCAGCTCGTCTGCTAGCTGATGTCATCAATAAAACAATCCACGTGACCTAAAGGGGAAACCCAGCTCTATGTTTTAAACTATAGAAGCCCGATAGGGTCATCTCTTAAGTTGTTTTTCACTTTTCATTTCACGTTTCCCGTATCAACTCTACATGTTTTATGAACTGGAAATTTATGCTGAAGTATATTTCTACTCCTGTAAAAGTCGAATAGTTTGCGCGCTTGAGAACAAAGCAGAAGCAACAAAACCTGTTCTACAACTATAAGAAATCTCTGTCAAAAGCGGTGTCGACAGCACGGTGTCACAATATCATGAGCATGTGTTTAGGTGGCAGCCGTCACACACACATGCAAAGACAGTGTACATCGACGCATACCTTGATTATGCATCCCTCTTTAATGGCTGCCTGATAACTCTCCACCCACTGCTTTAGTATTGCCAGACACAGAGAAGACATGGTGACAAGCTTACCGTCGTATCTAACAATAGAGCGTGTTAAATGGATTTCTACAGTGCTTATGTAAAAGAAGTTTATAATGAAATATATGTATGAAAGAAATATATAATGAAACCGATGGTTACGTAGAATGAGGTGAGGTGGGGTGAAATTGGGTTTAACGTCGTACTGGAGAATATTTCACTCATATGACGACGTGCATGCGTGTGTATATGTATGTGTGGCTGCTTGTACTAGCCCAGAATTAAGCTGGTTTTATAGTGCTAGCCCACTGAGATACCATGCCGCAGTGAAGCATGAATACCCCGCTCAGACACATTATACTGACTCCGAGCCGACCAGTCCTTGTTGTACCCATTAATGCCGAGCGCCAGGCAAGGACCAACAAGTACCATGATTTAACGTCTTTGGTATGACGCGGTCGGGGATCGAACCCGCGACCTTCCGCTCTCTGGGCGGACGCTCTAACCACTAAACCACGGAGGCGGTCTAACGTAGAATGATAATACATATGGAAAAGAATAAGGAAACACGTATTCCTATATTCTTTTCCAGGTTTTTGTGCATGCTATATATGGTACTGATGGTGGTGATCTAGATAAGGAAAACTTGAACTTTAATGTGTTCCCTTATAGTTTTAGACAAGTATATGAACAGATGTCAAAATAAACAATAGTCGGAGCATAACCATTAGAATGGTTTGTAGCTTTGGGGTTGTATATACCGATAAACATGAAGTGACTGCCTTGTACCTGTCCAGTTTAAGATCCACATCATAGCACAGCAGTGGACAACAGTTGTCTTCAACTTTCCACATATGCTCATAACCAGGCCTGAAGAATGTCGTGTTGCCACAGAACCTCTCAATGACACGTTCAGATGACAGCGGAGCTGAGTTGACCCTCGACACACCAGTCACGACAAATTCCCGTATCTCTTGATACAGTCTAAAGATGAAAAACAGGCACACTTACAGTACAACCATAAATTATTGAGAATTTAAAGACTGTAAAATTTTACAGCTAGTATTTTGTCAAGTCACCATGAGCAGCAATGCAGGCTTCAATGCGGCGGGGCATACTACTCATTAAAGAAGTTAGAAAGTCGTGGTCCATGCTGTCCCAATATCGGACCACCTCTTCTTTCATTTCAGCAATATTTGTCAGATTTTTCTTATTGACACTTTCCTTCATAAGTCCCCAAACATTTTCTATTGGATTTAGGCCAGGGCTATAGCTTTGCCAATCAAATAATGTCATTTTTTGGGTCCGAAACCAGGCCTGTGAATGCTTTGAACGATGTTTCGGGTCGTTGTCCTGCTGGAAAATCCAAATATTTCCATAGAACACGTGAGCAGATAGAAGTAAATGTCCCTCGAGAATATCTGTGTACCGCTCACTGTTCGTATTCCCTTCAAATACACAGAGGGGCGTTGCCCCTAACACAGATATGCCACCCCACACATTAAATTTCGGCCTGTACTTTGGGCGCTGATACAAAGGGTTTTCAGTTTGTTTGGTCCAGAATTTCAGTGTATTAAGAAACAGAACACAGAACTGAGGAAATCACATTGTCCCAGTTAAAATTTCTATACTGTAAGCACCAGTTCAACCTTCGCTCCTTTTGTTCAGGTTTCATAATCGGTGATGGAATTCCTCGACTTTTCTGCCAACCCATTGCATGCAGCTCAGTTCTAATTGTCTCCTTACAGACAGCCACAGTTCCTCTATCAATCATATCCAGCCTTAAGTTTTCTAAACTCCTTCGTTTGTTTTTAGAAACAAGAATACCAAGCCGCCTCCTGTCACCGACAGTCAATTTTCTGGGCCTACCTGCTCCTCCCTGGTGCTCAATGCCATATCCATTTGCAATATTTTTCAAAACACGATAAACAGTGGACAAATGGATGCCTGTTCTACTTGAAATCACTTTAGCTGATCTGATGTCTTTGTTATAATACTCTAAAATCATCTTATTCTTCTCTAAGTCATCCATACCGAGGATCACTGAAAATGTCGTCTGCTAGCAAGTAAACAAAGGGGGATAACTCTTCACAAACTAATGAAAAAGGATTAACGGAGTTGTCTCTTTTGAATGAACCCAAGCACTTGATAGCTGGTCAAGGTTGTTTATACTAGAAATCCAAGTAAACATATTCCTAAAATTCTCAATAATTTCTGGTCATACTATACTTGCTTCAAATACCTTAGGCTTACAAATGATAGAAATCACTTGTATTGAACTTAAACATTGACTCGCACTAATAATTCTGTATAGACCATACTTCCAACACTGTTTTTTCCTCTCAGACATTAATGGACATCTGGCATCTTAAAGGGCATGCTTAATACAAAACGTTTCACTGAAATTTGCGAAACGGAAACCGCGTTGAACACAAAATGATATGTTGAATCGAAATCACACATTGACGGTTTCGAGTGGGAGGTGGCTGATCCTGAGCAGAAAACACACCAGTTGACGCACATAAAGAGAAAGGCAACCCATGAAAACATGAGCCTGTGCTGATTTGATGTTTGACAGCTTGGTTGACACTCATATTGAGGCTGTCAATACTCTGAATGTTTTCTTCCGTCCAATCAACAACACGAAAGAATAAAAGATGACTCTACTTGTGCTCTTGACTGCAATGCGAGCACTCAGTTCTGAACTCCATATTTTCTGCTGGGGCTTATACGGGATTCTGGAGTTTGCCTCAGATATATGGGCCTGGCCTTCTATGAGTAGGTCAATAAATCCATCAGATGCGCCTTTAACATAAGGCCGCGCCCTATAATGTGGATCTAACACATTCACTAGGTCATCTAAATACTTCCTCTTCCCATGTTTATCTTGTTCTATTTTTTATCGCAATTTGGCCGCATGTATATAAGCAAAATTATTTTCGCCACAAAATCACAATCAGTTCTTTCAGTAGAATTTGAAGCAATGTTTATAAGCACATGATTACAAATGGTACCTGTCTTTCAGCCGCGGCGTGGACATCAAGTGATCACACATACGTGTCAGTGTAGACGCGATCCTCTGTACTGCTGTCTCTGGGAAATAGTCTTGGTACATATTCCTGAGGAAGGCTTCTCTCTTGTCACTTGTCAGTTTACCAGTGATTTCAGCATTCATCCAAGACCTGTGTTTTTCGGGTGCAGCTTTCCCTTTGTAAGTTTCCAAAATAGACGTCAAAACTGCTTATCGGAACAGTTGACAGTTGTTTCAACACATGCTGCAGACTCTGGGAGTGATCCTGTGACAAAAGACAGTCGTACCAGATTCCCACATGAACCTCAAATCCTCATCATTTTGGGATCGATGGTTCGAACTAGGTATAACAAAATCAAATCTCGTGACAAGACACCATTTTCAACGTCATTCAGATGAATGTTAATGATTTGACCTTCCGACTTCGTGGTGCCATTTCTGTGCAGCACGTGTATGGTGTGTAGGAGGATTTCTTATGTCACCGCATCCGAGAAACAGCATGTCACATTTCAGCAAATTCAGCAACCTCACAACCATGGGTAATATCAAGCGACCGTGTGTTCCCCACAGGGTAATACAAATCATGCTCATTGAACCGTATCCGTCCGACATGTCCAAAACACTGAAAGCGAGTACATACCGTGTGTAAAACTATCAATAGATTATGGGTTAGCTTGACCATTTAACATTGTTTGTTATTTGTGAATCAGGTATTCCTAATAGGCAAAAATAATATTGTAATGACTCAGGTGTATCTAATTGGTCCAGTACTATCAACATTTCGTGGTATGCCGGAGTGTAACACACGGAACATTTTTTAAGTTCAATTTCTATCAATAACGAGGAACACTACACCCAGAGCCCAATGCCATTGACTTCAGTGAACATTTACATAACACCTGTGTAAAACCTTGACGGATACAGTGCTTGTTTGTTTGTCAGTCATTTTGTTTGTTTGTTCTTTCGTTCGTTTATGTATTTACATATATAATTATTGATTAATTTATTTACAGGGTAACTGCTTAATATTAAGATTCATAAGACATTTGTAGGTTGGAATTTCGATATTTGCATTGCATTTTCATGTATTTACTGCATTAAAAGCGTAGGAGTGCTCACCGTTGACTGGTCAGTTGATTGCTTGGTGTCCACAATATCCGGCAATAACAATCAGTTGTACCAATGTTACGTTTATTATTTGTGAACATTATAATTTTAAATCTATGCAGCAAAAAACTAAAAACCTATACTTGAATAGATCATTTTGATAAATTAATAATTTCGTATAAAAAGTACCTGATCATTGCCACAGATTTCTGCATACTTTCTGCAACCGTAATGTCTGCCTATAAATCAATGCCTAACAGAAAAAAACCCAATATAAATGGTAAATCTTCGTATCCACTGATAATATATCTCTAACTCAACATTTTATTGACCAAGTGTGTCATCACCCGTTTGTTTACCTAATATCTCTGAAGGGGTACCATACAGGGTTTTTTCGTGCATAATACGATGTTGACCGATGGCGCCACCCTTTAAACTGGCCTATGCTCTAGTTAACAGTTAAAAGGCGTCGCTTGGCACAACCCAGCGAGGATAGCGCCACATACATGTCAAACCAGTCGTGATCATAGCCCGTCATTAGAAACTTTTGAAGAACAAGACGATCCATATTCAATACCACCACAGCTGCCTGGAGTGTTGTTGTCCTTCATTGTAGACATACATTTGCGCTCTATAGCAACAATAGATCACTTCTCTGTTGTTATCAAAAGGTAGACATTAAACCAGTCCTATGTTTAATACGTGTGTTTAAATATCAGGCAATACACAGCCCTTCACATAAGCCCGCTGTTCGCATAATCAAGTTTGGGTTTGTCGCAGTATTATTCACGATATCTGCACATCGTACAAACCATAGATAGTGTGGCTTTAGGATCACGGCTTATTACATAGTTATATATATAATACATGTATGTATATATTATATAATGTGCGTTATGTAATAATATAATTATGTAACATATGCCTTTCTGCTACCATGGAATCTGTTTCGGTAGATAATCAGGACAATTATTCTCTGCAGTTTTGAACTAACTATTCTCTGACGTTTTGAACTAACTCTTAAAGTAGCTTCTTGTGTCGTGACTGAGTAAAGATACACCATCGAACCGGAATTTACTGACAGAGTTAACAACGCAGGCATCCGTGTCAGGGGACAAACCGCTGACACCTAGTATGTAGCATTAAGCTTACAATATCGAGTCTCTTAACTTTTTACCAGATAGTGTACTTATCTGCCGCCCATAACACAAACAACTCTTTTCTAGGAACATGCTAGACAGCTTCCTGGTTTAGATGAATGGGAAAGGGGAAATAACTCCATAATGTCTAATTCACAACGAATGGGTTCAAACAGGTTTACCCAAGTTTACCCTTTCGGGGCCGTAGGTAGCCCGAGGGTCACAGGGGACAGCTGCCCTAAAAATTTTTACAGATTATTTTTTGTGCATCAAAGTATATGTAACACTCCTCTGGCAGCTCTGAAATCCACACCTCAATTAATGACGCACAGATTGCGGACAGCCCATCTGACAGATGATCGGTACCAGAATGATACACCTAATTACATATGATTACAACAACTATTAGTAAATAAAATAAGGAATTCAGGGCAATGACATAGACTTCCCGGAAACCACCCGAACATATACAGATTTATTGCCGTTATTCGGAAGATAGAGACCGCAGATCGAGTCAAGCTTGCACAGATTGATTTGGGGCAGCTCCACCTATACAGAAACGGGTCTACAGGGAGCAAGAGAACAGGATCCAGAGATTAAAAGACCAACTCCAGCAGAGACCTATGGTGGCTGATTAGGGCCATCGCCAGCCACCATAGAGAGCCAAGTCACCACTAGAATTCCTTGACGCCATCGGACACTTGACGCTCGGCTAAACCTCATTTTGGGATTCTGTGACTTTGTCTTATTCTATAGTGCTTTGTCTTATTCTTCTTTGTCCAGTGCTTCTTATGTTGTCCTATTCTCGGATTCAATATGGTTTGTCCATATTGTTGTAAATATATTGATAAATCTTAGTCCAGTGCTTATAGTGCTTTATCCTATTTGTCATACATAAGTACGGGTCATGTCATTCTAAACCCTCAAGGTAAAAGGAAGGAGATTAGATGTGCAATCATTTGTAAAGTTGTTTGTATAAGGGTGTGTAACTAATTGTACGTGTAACTAATGGGAGGATACATGTGCAATGCCTAATGATAATTAACGGACAAAAGACTTACTTAGAAAAAGGATTGCATTCAATCCACAAGACTCCAAAATATTGGACAAACCTGAAGATATCATTCACAGCAATTTCTGGACTGTCAACTGAATTTAATTATAATACAACTATTGTATATTAATACTTAAACTGAACAAGACAGTTTTTTTGCATATATACAGATATGTCTAAGCATATGTATAAAGTTTAGTTCATAGAGATTACTAAACGAGTGTCTGTCAGATACCATTTATTTTACAACGAGTTGTTTCAAACGTATTTAATGAGCGAAAGCGAGTTAAATACATTTTGAAACAACGAGTTGTAAGATAAATGGTATCTGACAGACACGAGTACAGTAATCTGTTTCTTACACACCATAAAATCGCACCATTTTATGGTCAAATAGATTCAAATTTCAAATTTTCTCATCGTAGCTGCGCAATAATACACAACACAACGTTTATGAATGAGTGACGTCACATGCCTTCCTAACGTCACTACTCATCCCCAATGTGACCCTCCACAATAAAGTTTCTGCCACCTCTTCGCGTCATCAAGGCAATGGTGATATTGCAAACTAGATAAGATCACAGAAAATTAATTAAACCCTCTAAAACGATCATGTTACCATGTAAATGTGGATGATTTTAATTCTTGCAAGCATAACATATTTGAGCGTGTGACGTCATCGTTATCGTTTGGTGGTTGTCGTCATCGGAAGATTGTTTTGGATAGCTCTGCAAATTTGTGTACGTTCAATGTTCGGTGTCGTCCCACGAGGCCTAAAATTATTCAATTAGGTAGGTGCAGTTCATTAGGCTATGTGGGACTTCTTGCCTCACTGGTTTTATGGGATTACGGTGGATTATTGCTGGACTGGTCCATTATTGACCACAGAAGGGTGAATAATAACAAACAACAAAACTCAAATATGATTGATTAATATTTATTTTAACGGTGATTTATCACATCTGTATCACTGGTTTTATTGGATAAGGGTGGATTGACCACAGGAATCATAACAACATATTATCATGTATATATACATTGACTTGTCAGCCAATTAATCACTCTATATGACATTTATAGCGATAATGGGTCATCCCCCTTGTCCGTGTCTGCAATCACATCAACTGGTCAAGGAAGTGCTACTGTTTCTCTATCTGTCCATTGTTGAGTCGTCGCCTGTCCATTGTTGTCAAAAACTGTATATATACACTCACATCTATATTGTAAAGTAGTACGAGTCCGGTATTCCGACTGCCTGTGTAAGACGTCCGCGAGCAGGATAATGCCGCTCGTAGGAAACGCCCTGATGTTGAGCAGGTACTCCGCTCACCTCATTTATATCTTGTATATTTGTTTGTCATGTAACTAAAGAAGTTTGAACTCAACGTACTCCTTCGTCTTGTCAACGTATTGTACGTACACTTCGTCGTAATTCTGAGCTAATTCGCCAGTCGACAACCTTGGCGCAAACCGACTGGACATTCAAAATAATCAGTGAACATATTATTATTACTTCTAACACAAGATTTTACAGATCTATAAATAATAAATTCAGTTGTTAAAGTCAGGGTTTAGGATGTAAAGGTACATCCAGGTGTGTCCTTATTCTCCAATACACTGGAAGGCGAGCATTCTCTTCCCACAGAGGTTACTCAAGTCATATCTTCCCACGTAGGTCCAATATGGCGGCCGCCATGGAGTTAGTTGATCAATATGCGAAGGATAGATTCGGTATTTCATGTTTAACTGAAAATCAGAAACTAGCAATAGAAAGTGGTTCCACAAATATCCCTCCTCTTCCGATGACTTATGTTGATGTGACACACAAGACATTTAATGGCTAGCTTTTCCGTTGTCAACGAGGGCGATGGAGACGCCATTGATCCGGCATTACATGACTGAGTTCTGTTTAGAAGAAACGCGCAGGGGAAGAGGTTCTAGTTTTCCCGAAACATACGGAAATAACCGCGGCTTTGCGAATGATCACTTTTTAAACAACGTCGCTGATTGCACAACTAGATCTGATTGCAACCAATCATGAATCCTAAACACTCGTACCATGAAAGTGTTTGTCAGTCACCCTTGCCGGCTGTTCTTGTTTTTCACATGCCCCTGTTTTACATAGAAAACAGCCAAATTATTTGATAGTAGTGTGTCAGTTTTATGTGATAATATAATGTACTGATGCTTAGACAACTTATTTACCATATTTGATAATGATATATTCCAAGGCAAAATGCTGTGCCAATGGCAAAAGAGCGAAGTTATTGATCTGTGGAGGGTCTTTACTTAAAGGTACTATATCACGCCACGCTTCTCGAAAAATGTATAATGCAGTTCTCTCAATAATACTAACTATCAGTCCTCAGGGACGCTACCATATAATTTATTTCAAAATAATTGCGTATCTAGATTACAATATTAATGGAAAAAAGCTTCATTAAGTCGACTCAAGTGCCTAAACCAGCCGAACATTATTTCATGCGAACCCCATAGAGTTATGTCCCTTGGAGCGCTCTTTACGAATACCCTACGCACAAATTTTGATTGAAATCAGTTCGGCAAACACCCACAACACACGCGTACCACAGTTTTCGATGTACGGAGCATTTGTTTACATTCCATATATGGCAAGTGTCGCTCTGTTTGATAACAGCTGTTCGCCTCTAAGTTTCAGTTTCAGGACAGTCATAAGGGATAATAAGTCTTTTATTGCAACAATCGGAAGATAAAGTGAGTGCATATGCCCCAATATATATAATGTAAATGTTGTCGAAAATGTGTAACATTGTGGCTTTAAAACTATTATGTGAACTTTCTCAGAACTATACCTAGATGTTTGACATAAACTCCTGTGGTTCTGCATATTGCGAAAACACAACCCATTTCAAACGACGGTACCACATCTGCATTCTAACCTATTTCTTTCAGGTAAATAACCTATTTCTTTCAGTGTAACATATGTTATATTTGGGATTACACTTTCTTAGTAAAGTAGAGATTCTAAAGTACTGTCGGAAACAGAAAAAACTGTATTTTCTCATTTATCTCTCCAATTTATGTAGTTGATATGTGAAAGTGTGAAATATCTGTGAAACCAAGTTCGGCCTAACTACAGTCTCAGTGGTAGAGAGATAGTAAGCGGAGAAAATGGACTTTACTGAGGGGAAATTAGTGCAGAAATGAGCAATGCGGGTTTTTTCTAAGTCCAAAAATACTTATTTGGAACAGACCATGGCTTTATGCAAATTAGTGTGCGGGTATATTGTATTACAAAGGACACTTTTTAAATGCCCAATTTGAAATTAAGCGTAGATTCATTATAAACGATAGCTGACGTAAAAAATAATAACTTTTATGCTGAAACTATCAAGGATGTAGCTACCATGGAGTCTCACTGTCACTATAAAAAGAAACAGATAGGAGGCAAAAGCAAAACCTGGGGTCGGGCTGGGGGATAGAGATATCAGCTAAGATAAGATAATCCTTTAGGGCAATTCTACTGGGGAGGTACACGGCACGTCATAACAATTTACAAATAACATCCAGCCGTGTCGATCTTCGGGTGGTCATGCCACCTATATACTACGATGCGTTTCTATGGTTTTCGGGTATCATACTCTTTTACATATCTCAACATAAACTTTATGAAAGAATGATACGTAAGATGTTTAGCAATAGATGAGACATAGTCAACACACATGAAAAAAGCACAAAATATCTTTGAGATGACCCTTTGTGCCTGTAGGCAGCACATGCATTTCATGCCAGGTGAGTCGACTGTCCGTCGTCATACCTGGCTGAGCGACCTAATTGCCATCTATAGTCTGATCTATTGTTTTCAGCGGCTATTCGTACTGTTTCTAAAGTTTTGCCCGATTTTACGAGTAAACATGCTTTTCTGGATATGGTATTACGCATCCCACTGAACGCCCAGTTAGGACGCAGTGGGTTATTTCGACATATACTATTTGCAATTGTGTAAATTTTAGGGATATAGAGTAACAGCCTAAAAACAGGTTTTTTTCTATTTCCGACAGTACTTTAGTACTTTTTTGGTTGAGTCCCATCCAGGATCTGGGTGCCGTTCCACTTACCGATCTTAGCCCTATGCCAATCGTAAACCCCTAAAATCCCAATCTTAGCGTGACGTTACGATCGGCATACCGTTCCACTAACCAATCTTACCTAAGTCAATCGTAAAATTAAGATTCAAAATCTAAGTTGCTCATGACCAACTTAGGATAGCTAAAATCAATCGTAGAGAAACCAAAATGGTGGCTTTCCTATTCTATGTGAAAAATAAGAGCGAGCGTTTCACCGTGAGCGTCCCCTAAAGTCCCTCATGAAATGAATTTGTATATTTCTGTGATGTAAACAAACACTGCACTGAAGCCTTACAAATGTCAGGCCAGTCTGACCACTGTCGTCATGGGAACACAACCGAGCGAGTCGGTGTAACACATTTGTACAACAATATTGCAACGTCATGGTTCAGAATAGGGACAGCCGTGAAGTGAACAATGTTCTGAAGCAAAAAGATACAAATATGTTTGATTTCACTGCGCATACACGTATTTGGTGGGGGATTCTAAAGGCAGGCCGCGTGTTATTCAAGACCACTGACAGATTCTACATACGTTATAGCCTCGTCACGCCTTGTTTATGCTGATTGACAAGGTTCAGGCACATATTAAAAGCTCTGACACAATTGACATTTTTAAAGTCCAGACTTAAAACCTGTTCTCAGTATATTACTTATAATCTCGGCTGTAAATATTCTCGTGTAAATTATCTGTACACAGCGCTTTGAGCATGCCCAAGGATGTGGAATAGGCGCACTATAAATATGCATTTATTATTATTATATTATGCTTGATACCCAGCGTTCTCACGCACTTGCACCTGAAACCAAGGTGCTCACTACCCTAATATTTTGCTCTAGGTTTTTTCTCCACGTTTACACTTGGTTGGAAAAATACCCATGAAGGCCCGGGTTAGAATATTGAACTTCAATAACCCATGCCTGTCGTAAGAGGCCACTAACGGGATCGGGTGGTCAGGCTCGCTGACTTGGTTGACACATGTCATCGGTTCCCAACTGCGCAGATCGATGCGCATGCTGTTGATCACTGGATTGTCTGGTCCAGACTCGATTATTTATAGCTAAGATACATAGCGTTCACTAACATGAACGCTCATGTTAGTGAACGCTATGCATCTTAGCTAAATTATTTACAGACCGCCGCCATATAGCTGGACTATTGCTGAGTGCGGCGTAAATCTAAACTCACTCACTCACTCAGTTGGTTCGTAAACTACTTTCTATCACTTGCTAGACTATCACTTGCTAAGATTGATCTTAGATAAGATCGGTTAGTGGAACGGCACCCTGTACTTTACTAAGAAAGTGTAATCCCAAATATAACATATGTTACATTTGACCACTTTCTAAAAGGGCATTGTGTATTTCATATTTCTTTCAGGTAAATAGTAACAGAGGCAGATTCACAGACGTTCCCGTGGACTGTCCAGGCTTCCCTGTTTTATTTTCTGCCTCAGTAGAACACCCGGCTGCACCCCGAACACCTTACTGTCTTCTGAGATCTACCAAAACTGTCACAAACTGCACCAGGGCTTGACGGGTGAAAAACCAGATTCCGCGCCAATGTCCTCATGTCCCTTTCTCCGGACCACCTTATAAGGATAAAAAAAACTATACTTATGCAAGGCTCATAAGCAGGGCACATGCAATGTAATTAGTAAGTAATTAGCTCCTATGTTACCTTTCCTATATACTTACAAAGAGAACTAAACATTTCAGCCAGGTCTTCCTGGTACTTCAAATCATATAGTTCCTTGTAAGGATATCTCGCTCTCAGGATGGTTCTTGTCATCCATCTTCTGTCCTCGGGCTGATCTTGAATCATTCGGATGGAGTTGACTTCTAGAAGCTTCACCAACAAAGCATATCCCTGTCGATGACAAATACACATTCACAATCAGCATGGACACAAAGGTTATGACGTTTTTGCTAAAAAGTATGGTAATGCCACGTATAAGGCAAGTATGTTAACTGAGTAAGAAATCTGCCTAAACCATTCAAGGATGCTATCTACGTTTGGCTTGACTCTAAAACCTGAAGACAAGTCCATTCCTCTTGTCATGGATTCCCAAACTACATAAAAATCCCTACAAGGAGTGATTTATTGCTGGTTCCAGCAAATGTACCACCAAATCCCTGTCTCAGAGATTAACCATGATCCTTGACGCTATCAACCAAGGACTTTCTCGATGTTCACATAATTTTTTTCAGACAGGCGGAATTAATGCCCTGTGGATTCTCAAAAACTCAAAGGATTTGTTAACATTTTTAGAATCTCAGAAACGGGCCGAGTTCCGTTCTGTCAACACTGTATACCACTATCCCATATAACAAACTTAAGGAAAAACTTCATTCCTTGATTCATGGGGCTTTTCTAAACAAATGTGGTGAACAAAGATATATCCACATATCTATCAGAGGTTCAGGACAATTTGTCAAAGAGCGGAATGCCCCTCTTTCAGAATTTGTTTGATCTAGGTTACTACATTCAAGGCCTCAGTAAAGCTTTCAGGAAGTTCTATGGTAGACATGCGAAGGATATCTCCAAATTTTATCAGTGACAAAAATGATGTCAGATTCAATTCCTTATTTTGACTTACGTTCATAAGTTCCCGAATATATTTCAGGTGAACAAATGACTAGACGGGTGCCACCGGTGGGGCAGGATATGCTCACCTTTTCGCGAACACCTGGTATCATCACTATTTCATGGTGATTCATAAACACATGCTCTGTAATTGTATCGCATGGTGACAATCACTGGATTGTCTGGTTCAGACCCTGTTTGTTTACATACACCATACAGCTGTAAGACTGCTGAACAAATATCTGCTCAGGATATAATCACAATTGTACAATCGACTCTGCTTTTGGCAGAGATTTCTTAAGATTGTGGAAAGGGTTTTGCCGATTCTATTCATGTAATCCAGTCAGTGTTCGCAATAGCCACTGGCCCGCTAGCCCGTGGCTAGTAGAAATCCAGTCGGGTCAGTAAATCTCCATAGTCACTGGCCCGAGTGGCTAGTGAATTTTCATGGGATCATTTTGTAAAAACATGTATATCACTCTCTCCGATTTGTTAAGTTATAATACACTTTTGAATAATGCAAGATTATGGCCTGATAAAAATGTTCATCATAATAGCAGCTTAATGATGAAACCCGTGGTTACATTCAAATTTCGGGCCAGTGAATAATTTTGTGGTCTTGTAACTTTCAGGCAGAGCTAGCCCGTCTGGCTACCAAAATTTGGAAACTATTTCGCACACTGAATCCAGTGTTCCCAGAAAATATAATAGATAAGATTTGTATTGTTACGTATTTTGTCTAATAGCTTTACTGTACAATAAGACAATATGAGCGGTTATTCTGAACACTGATCGATCAGTCACTGGATTGTCTGGTTTAGACGCACTTACCGGCAGCTGGCATATAGCTGAGGGAGCTCAATATTGAGCAACAAGCAAAACATAGGGAGCAGAATAGGTTACCACAAGTTCCGTGTACGTACACAGAACACACGGAGCAGGCCGTCTGATTTAATCAATAATACTGCAATAACTCGTTTTGTTGTTATCTGTTACGCTTACCTTGCTAAGATTTGAAGATGATGATGGGTCCAGCTCCACACAAGTCTTCTTCGTTTGTTTCCATGGTAAGATTTCTTCATCCGTGATTTTCTTTTGGCTAACCAGATTATCAGCTTTGTCAAAATCTAGAAAAGTCAAAAATAGGGTAGGTCTCTTCTCGTGGATCTTTAGATCTTCCACACGTAGCATGTTGTTTGCTCCCTTGCCAGTATTTGTGAGACCTTGACCTCTAATCGTGATGAGTGTTGGCAGCTATGAAGAACATGTCAGTATTTCACTTCATATACATGCAAAAATAACCCCTCTTTTGTAATATTTTACTTTTACTAGGAATTCTATCACTCTTTAGCAACAAGTCCCACAATGAAATCAGCTATTATTTCGAAAGTAACTTGCATAACTATCCAGAAGTTTGAATAATGTGTTTTGTGTATTTCATCAGATTACTGTATACTACAAGTAAGAAACCATACCATTGCTCAGTACAATATTGCAACAAAAGACTAACAAACAAGAAGCTGACATCTGGCACGTCCAAAGCTTCATGTTGTAGCAAGAATTGATATTAGATGCACAAAGCACCTACCCCAAATGAAAACGGGACCGTTATCAAGATGAACACCACAAGTGATCTAAGCTGTTGTATGGGCGACATGCGTTGTGACCGACTCACTGGACACAATAAGCACATGTTTCCAACGTACATCTCTATTGTTTCTTTACCGCTTTCCGAGAGAGGAAAGTTCGGGAGATCAGCAACAGAGCTTGTGTTGAGCTTGTTCCAGGGCAAAACTCGTTCACCGAGAGTCACGTCAGCATCCTTGACAAGACGAGCTTCAATTCTCCCCCTCTTCCTTGACACTTCAAATCTGCTCGTGTTCAAAGCGATTCCACATGAAAGACTGAGCGTTTCTCTAAAGCTTGATTTCCTGAAGCACGAAAAGCACTATATTAAGAAAACCTTGGATAAATAGGAATCATTTAACACCTGCATCATTTCCTTCAACATCCCGCCACCACCATAGCATAAAACAGGTGAAATGGTCAATGCTTTGGAGGACAATAAAGACTGGCTAGTCTGGCGCTGACGTCATACATTTACAGCACATGTGAATATAGTTACGGTTTAGAAATTGCTGATATAAAAAGGCTTGTGAGTCCCCTTTAAACCAGCAAAATAAAACAAAAACATCTCTATAAGGCTCAATTATATATTGAATAAACAAGCTTACAATGAATGTCTCTTGAGTGGTGAAACGTCGATGTTAGCAGACAGATGAGTGCAAGTCCACAGTAGTCCCTCCATAAATCTCAACAACCATCCCTTATATACATATTATAAACTTCTAGACTTTTCTAACCCACGCCACACTACAATCTACTCACAGCCTACAGCATTGTACACAGCGGAAGTAAAGCAATTCAAAGGGCAGGTAACTCCCAAGCCCACTCTCAACAGGAGTAATTCATAGCTTAAGTTAAAGGTGTGAGTTCAAATCCACACTCAGCGCTTTAAACCTTTGTAACCCATAATACCTAAAAGTTGATTAATGTGACATTGCAATTAACAAAGTCACATCTTCATAACAGTAGGCTTACTCAAATGTTTTTCAGCGTCTGAAACCAGTTCCATACCTACGCCCTTCTTGAATATAGTAACGTTTTAACACATCATGGTATGGCATAGTCCACACAGCATAACAATGGAAACCCAATATGGATACTCCAGGCAACTGCTGCAAGATTTACTACTTTCAGTAAGGCAATTGCCAATAGTATGACGAATACAATAGTATCATATTGTTGACCATTTTGGTTTTCGATATATTTGAAGGTTACAGTGGTCCCTTTATATAATTTTCATCACTTAATTATCCTTTATATCCAGATTAATCTGTTTTGTAAGAATGACTATTCTATCATTGACGTTACGTCTGATATCAGGTGGTTTGTCAGTGATTTCGGGAGAAGAAATCAGCTTTTTGTAGCTTTGAAGAAAATATCTATATCGATGTCGAGAGTCTTATCGGTATAAAACTTGGACCGTGCTATTTGTCCTGTTTACTAAGGACAAATACAACAATATTGTCTTCAGCTTGTAATTTGGAAAGGTTAAAATCAACGTCATCAGGTATCTAAGGCAGTTCAAAAGGATGTGAATGAAACAGTGGAAAGTCCACACACACTGCAAGTTGTATGATGTTCATTTTACCAGTGAGTAAACTCAAATAAAAAACTCACCCATTGTGGCTGTTCTGTAGAACTATAACATATGGATCTCCATCTACACAATCCATGCTGAATCTCCCCTTCTTCAGACATTCTGGGTCGGTTTGGATGGTCACAAGATAATGATCTGTGTACTCAACCAGGGTCTGTAAACAATATACACCTTGGTATATGTAGCCTTGACAAACTAGGGTCTGGTTTTCTAACTAACGGCCTGCGATTAGTATGCACTACATAATCGATTATTATATGATGAAGTAGGATAAAATATCAAGCGGACGATTGAAATGCTGTTTCAATGAAAACATATATTCTCGTCATCACTCTGGTGCCAGCAACCGGATCACTTTGGCTTTCTTCACAAATACAGCTGACACACCGTGAGTAAACCGCTTTGTTTGTCGTTGTAAAGCAGAGAAAGTGTTTGTCCGGATTTCGATCATACCACTACTGCAGACCCAAACAGAAGCTTTTGGGTAGGTACAGCAGAGAAGTGTCTGTTTTTGTGAAACCCGATGTTGACGAGTATATGTATAGAGTGCTTGAAGATTGTGTTGTTCTTTTGTTTCACTCCACGAGACTTGGACTTGACAAAGATATTGTGTTAATGTTTGTCTACATATCACCTGAAAACTCCCCTATATATATTGGTAAGGATTTTGATGGCATCCAGCTTTTGGAACAATACGTCGAAACCATAAAGCATAATTTTTATCAGCATCGTATATTACTTGTAGGTAATTTTAATGCAAGAATGAAAACATTTTAGATTATATTCCCTGTGATGATTTCTACTATGTCCAAAACAGCAGTGAGGACTACCCAAGTGATAACTTCCAAACTTCGCGCAATACGAAAGACAACATTAGATATAACAACTATGGAGTATCCCTTGCAGAAATGTGTTGTACACATGGTCTACATGCTTTGAATGGAGGGATGTTTGATGACAAAGAAGGCAATTTCACTTGTGTGACCCATAATGGTGCTAGTGTAGTGGATTACTTTCTAGCAAGTACTGATCTATTCCCCCATTTCAGCTCTTTTGGTATTCATGAAAGAGACGAGTCAAACCATTTCCCTCTATATTGTTCTATTGATCTTCCTGGTGCAGTTTCAACTGAAAGGTGTAATGATGACAACAATTCCAATCAGTCATGTGTTATGGGTCAACGGGATAAAATACAACTGGTCCCCTGAAATGCGCAACATATTTTAAGTTGATTTTCATGAATTGTTTATAATGCAGTATGACACAATACATAAACAGATTGAAGAAAAAGTGGAAGAAAGTGTCAAAGCATTAACTGATCTCTACCAGGCTGCAGCAGAGAAATTCAAGAGAGTTTACAATAATTATCTTTCCATGTATTCCAAGCAGCCCCCCTGGTGGGACTCCGAATTAAAGCATATCAAACAAAAGAAATACTCAGCTCTTAGAGCACATAGATCAAGGGCCTTGGTGAAAACATTGATTCGTATATATGTCAAAAGAAACTTTTCAAATCTACATTTCAACTGAAGAAAGACCTATATCTTCAAGATCAAAGGAGAAAACTTAGTGACTCAAGAAATGACCCTAAACAATTCTGGAGTGTATTAAAATCAAATTCAGTTTCTCGTTCAGAGACTCCTCATATTCCTGTAAACAAATGGCATGATCACTTTCGGAACCTTTTATATTGTCAATCTACCAATGATGTTATTGATGAGGCATTGTGTGAGGATATAAATGACAACATTGCATCACAGTTGAATGATCCCTTTTCAGAACATGAAGTATTTTCTAGTCTTCAAAACATTAAGAGTGGCAAATCAGCAGGAACAGATGGCATAGCCGGGGACTTTTTCAAGGCTTCTAAAAGCTATATTGCACCATTATTAACTAAACTATTCAATAAGTTATTTGAAGATGGCATTTTCCCTGAGGCTTGGGGAAAGAGTATCATCTGCCCCTTGCATAAATCAGGAAGCAAACTGGACCCAAACAATTTCAGACGTATTTCTTTGATCAACTCAATGTGCAAAATTCTTACTTCAATAATCAATAACAGATAACAACAATGGTGCGATGACAACAACATAATCTCAGAGTGTCAAGCCGGCTTTCGACATGGTTATTCAACCACTGATCATATATTCACCTTACAAGCTATGGCAATCAAGTATTTATCAAAGAAGAAGGGGAGATTCTATTGTTTGTACATAGACTTTACGAATGCTTTTGACTGCATTAATCATCAAATATTGTTTAGGAGCCTTATGAGCATTGGTGTGAAGGGGAAATTTATGAAATTTATCATCAAGATGCACTCATCATTATGTGCTTGTGTCAGAACTGATACTGGATTATCATCTTATTTCAACTGTAATGTTGGCACAAGGCAAGGATGTATTTTAACTGTTGATACCACCGCTATTGTATTTACTACCGCTATTGTATATACCACCGCTATTGTATTACCACCGCTATTGTATATACCACCGTTGTTGTACATACCAACGCTATTGTATTTACTACCGATATTGTATATACCACCGCTATTGTATATACCACCGTTGTTGTATATACCACCGCTATTGTATTTACTACCGATATTGTATATACCACCGTTGTTGTATATACCACCGCTATTGTATTTACTACCGCTATTGTACATACCACCGCTATTGTATATACCACCGCTGTTGTATATACCACCGCTATTGTATTTACTACCGATATTGTATATACCACCGTTGTTGTATATACCACCGCTATTGTATTTACTACCGATATTGTATATACCACCGCTATTGTATATACCACCCTTGTTGTATATACCACCGCTATTGTATATACCACCGCTATTGTATATGCCACCGTTGTTGTATATACCACCGCTATTGTATGTTACTACCGCTATTGTATATACCACCGCTATTTATATACCGCTATTGTATATATACCGCTATTGTTGTATATACCACCGTTGTTGTATATATACCGCTGTTGTATATATCGCTATTGTATTTACTACCGATATTGTATATACCACCGCTATTGTATATACCACCGTTATTGTATTTACTACCGATATTGTATATACCACAGCTATTGTATTTACTACCGATATTGTATATACCACCGCTATTGTATATACCACCGCTATTGTATTTACTACCGATATTGTATATACCACCGTTGTTGTATTTACTACCGATATTGTATATACCACCGCTGTTGTATTTACTACCGCTATTGTATATACCACCGTTGTTGTATATACCACCGCTATTGTATTTACTACCGATATTGTATATACCACCGTTGTTGTATATACCACCGCTATTGTATTTACTGCCGATATTGTAAATGTCACTGCTATTGTATTTACTACCACTATTATGTCTACCACCGCTACTACGACACTATTCTGTGCTGGCATTGTAATGACTTGTTATTACTGCAGTGATGTGTATTGATATGTAAACCTAGATATTTTCAAAGTACAATTCTTAATATCATAACATTCGTTGCATTTCCGTGTTTGTTGTTCACTGTTACAGATTTGAGTGCTAACTATTACTTCTATTGAGAAATCAACACGTTACAATCATAATCATGTAAAATGTACTTACATTGCTTTTCGTCGTGGCTGTGGGTTGAGTTCACAGATTGGCATCAGATGTTTGTTTTTAATATAAAAGTATAAACAATACAATTCATTAGACACATACAACTTGTATAATCCGTAGCTCAAAACCTCTGCGAAAACAGCACGAAGTCAGTGATTTCGTTCTTTGCGTAGGTAGTACAGTCCCGCCCATTCTGTGTTGAACTACACTGGAATCAGCAACCCCTCAGTGGGCGTGGCCTACATGTTTTACGGTTCATGATTAAATTATTGGATGGTTAGCCAATCAGATGCCGTGAAATCGCTTGCAATTTATTCACATCATTATATCGCGTTGAATGACATTACAGATATTGTGAGTATTCACGAGAATTCAGAAACTCGAAGACATCCGGTTGAATAAGTGATTAATGACGGCCAATATTATTTCTAACATCTAAGAGTTTGTCACTACTTATTTCATTGAATACAATCTGTGAATAGGAGTGATATTACTGATAGTTATTTTAGTTTGTATATTTAAACTGTTATCTCATGAAATGAAACATATTTTTATCACTTCAAACGTAAACACACTTGAATCTTTACAACACTTATGTGTATGAACTGATTTCTTTACACATATTGTTTTCCTTTACGGATGAGCGTCATGTAACCCTTGGACGACTTTCAGACAACGAGTCATGTCTTGTAAACTTTTGAGCAGAGCATTTAGACAAATAGAAATCAGGTGTTTGTTTCCATAACGACGTTAGAGTTACCTTTAGCAATATTCTGAACCCTTTGCAGAATATTTTCAGTTGCACTTTTGACACACGCCTTTGTGACATGTCCTAAGGGATCTCGACCGTCTAAACCAGGACATGTTTTCACCTTTTCAAGTGCTGCAGATACTGCGTCTGATACTGAAATATATACCAATCAATTTTTACATATTATATGTTCCCGAAAATAATGTATTGTCATGTTTTACATTACGGCAAATAGAGTTATATATTAATACTGCATGTTGTAAAACATCATGCTTTATGGTCCCAGATTTATAAGCCAAATATAGCATAAAACACCATCCTTATCCACGTCGCCCAACACCTTCCCCGAACACTGTCCCCAACAACGACCCCTCCCCTCCCCATCCCCATCCCCATCCCTCTCAAACATCGTCACCCAACATCGCCCCATCCTCAGAAAAATGTGGACCGCAATTGTATGTTCACTCTGGCAAACGTTTTGCCATTGACTATGCCAAGATTTATGTATACATAAGCAGTATCTGGTTCTTTCAAATGTTAGGTCGATGATTGATAGATGTTGACTTAAACGGAGAGATATTTTAGATAAAATGTCACATACCTTTTTCATCAAGAGTAATAGCTGTTAATTGTTTCTGTTCCCGAGCTGTTTTCCATTTCAATGTCAACTTTGTAGGTACGTGGGTAGACTGAGATGGCGGGAGACTCCTGGTCAATGAAGTGACAGGGTACTTAAAGCTTGTTAATGGTCAAGTTGTGTCAAAGTCCTGCACTCACGAATCATAGGCAACAACAGTAACGCCAGTTAACTATAATTCATAGAATCATCACGGCCTTTTAGGATCATATCTCTGCGGATAATTGACATCGGGTATTCTCAGTTTACATTTCAAGTGAAATGGCGTTTGGGATCACCAATGTTCTTTTTGAAATGACATCATGTGTTCGACCGTATGTTCCGGATACCAGTCAAATTGTGCAATCATGATCTGTATTTCCTAAATTTGTGCTGTAACAAAGCAATACCGGGTACTTACTCATGTCCAAGAGAGAGTTCTTCAGCTAGATGAAAACCAAACACTGTCGGATACATCAACAGTGGCACATCAATGCAGCCAGAGAGATACCTTTCCACTGAAACGACGCCTTCTAATCTTGTGAAGTCAAAACTCTCTGTCCTCAGCACTCCGTTAGGCCTGAACAGTAACATATTAAGCAGATTAACATGAGTGATTGAGTTAGTGAATGTAACGCTACTACGAACTGTGCTTATGCTATTGGAGGCGGGTCTGCCAGGGAACCTCCTACAGGTTTTACCCTGCACCACTGAAACGAATGACGAGGGTGATCGGGAAGAAAGGGGTTCGAACCGATGACTTTGTTACACGACTGGGAGACAAAATTCTGCAAAAGGAATTGTGGCCCCATGACATCTTTCGATACATTGCCTCCCCTTGCTTTTCATTGATGGTTGGTACTATAGTGTTCTGACATCACATTTGATTATATAGTTTATCGTTTATTTCCACAATGCATTTGTGGCCATAGGCCCAAATACATGATACAATAATAATATGGGTGATATTAAACAATCATTTTCGCTTCTTAAAAGCAACATGAATGAATGCCATTAATTTTGTAAGCACAGAGTGTGAAGTTGTTGACATAGGTTTTGAGGACATCTATATTGATGGGTTCCTCATCACATAATAGTAGAATAGTTTCTGATGGTGTCAAGGTAGGGGCATATCAAAGTAAAATGATACAGATCTTCGATTTCATATCGATCACAGTATGGACAGATACGTTGCTCACGGGGCATATTTGATATTCGGCCTCTGTCAATCTGTAGACTTGTATGTCCAACTCTTGCAAGAGCAAACTGGCGCGCAAAAGTTCGTAGTGAAGATTCTAATAAGTATTCTTCAGCATCAAGAGTTGTTTTCTATGTTGAGTATGTATCATATCTTGAACTGCTGGTTAAAGGTCATGCCATTGTTGAGAACTGATATATTTTAAACGCTGTTTAAAGTCCAGATTATACAACATGCCATATGCCTTGCGTGGTAGTCGATGAGACGGGAGATGAAGGAGTCTGATCCAGTACTTGATGCATCTGACGGCACTATCCACATACAGAGGGCCATAGTATTTGGTGTGTTTGTACCGGTTCCAATGTAGCGTTTACAAGCTAGATATTGAACTTTCTCAATTGCGCCTACTCGTGTGTGTCCCCATATTTCACTTTCGTATAACAGAATAGGCATTATTTTAGTGTCGAATATTTTGAAACAGGTCTTGAATGGTAACTTTCCATATGTCCACATTATAGTAAAATTACGTAAGATGTTCACTAAGGAACGTTTGCCGTTAGTTGCAAGGTGAAGGACGGATTGACGCAGAGACAGGGTTGGTGTTAGCATGATCCCTAGGTATTTGTAACTTGGGTTCTAAGGGTACCTTATGCTCAAGTCTTTAGATGATAGTGGTAGAACTACATGGGCATCAAAAGTTAAAAATCTTCTGTTTAATTTTGGTTTTGGATATGTTTGGTTGAGCCAAGATGTTGGTGATGTAAAGTTGTTTATAAGCTTATTTAAACACAGATTATCAGATAATTTAAAACAGTCCTGGTACTCTTCCCTGAGTAATTCTTCCAAATGCAACTATTATCAGTATTTTAAATCAGCGTTAAATGTTGAATGTTATTTATCGTTTAACCTTTCTACATTTAAGAGCTGTTTTAGCACAATTTAGGTGTAGTAATTTTAAAATAGCTGTAGAAACTGGGCGTTATAACAACACTGATTATAATCAAAGATTGTGTATATCATGCAAATCTAAAGGTCTTACCTATATTGAAGATGAATTCCATGTACTGTTCATTTGTGAGTCCTATTAACAACCTAAGAGAGAGGTTTATTACAAAATGTGTTAAAAAGCCTTATACTGTATATTCTTTAGCAAATCTTTTCAAGAATACTAATGTAGACACTGTAAAATCTGTTGCCTTGTATCTATTTTATGTTAAGAGGATTATTATAAACACACATGAAAGCACATTGTGCCCCTGAATACACTGAAATTTCCTTTGAATGTATTTTGGGCCTATGGCCTTTTACTGCAAATAAACTCTGTCTCTGTCTCTGTCTCTGTAACTTGATACAGGCTCGATCTCTTTGCCATTGTAAAACCATCTAAAGATTCCTCCTTTTCTAAAGACGACAACATTTGTCTTCTGTAGGTTAACTGACAGGCCCCGTGTTTCACAGAATGTAGACAGGATGTTGAGCTGTTGCTGGAGACCGTTGACCCTGTCGGACATTAGGATTACGTCGTCAGCAAACAACAGTAGAAATAGATCGTATAGATCTGGGTATAGCTGTATTTCGCCTTTGCACTCCTGTAATATCACATCAGCGAGTCCATTTATGAACAGAGAGAAAAGGACCGGTCTAAGAACACATCCTTGTTTGAGACCAACTGGACAATCAAAGACTTGCTTGTACGCCCTCCACTACATCTAACAGAAGCTGACACTCGTGAATACATGGATTCAATAATGTGAAGCATTTTCCCCCTTAGGTTGATGTTTCGAAGTACGTTAATCAGTTTTGTTCTATTGATAGAATCAAATGCTTTCCTAAAGTCAATTAGAGCTACATATAAGCGACCTTTTCTTTTACTGAGATATTTCTGTACGCAGGCAGTTAGTGTGAAGATGTTGTCCGTAGTAGTGTAGCCCTAACGAAATCCTGCTTGTTCTTCACATATCTTGTGATTAATTTCGGTCCACGTCGATAGGCGCTTGTTAAGGATAGATGTGAAAACTTTTCCAAACACACCGTTTAAGGTAATTCCCCGGTAGTTATTCGGGTCTTTGAGGCACCCGCTTTTATGTATAGGAACAATAATGCCACTTCCCCAGCCGTTGGGGAAAACACCTATATCAAGGATTTTGTTGAAGAGTTTTTCTAAGTAAGGCAATACATGTATATACTTGAGTGATGGTTTTAGTAATTCTGGTATTATATAATCCGGACCACTCTTTAATTTATTCACAGCTTCCGTTATTTGTTAAGCTGTAATGGGGACACCAACAGTACAGTCTATATCATGATCCCCTGGAGTAGTCCTTTCCTGGGTATCACCTGCAGAGAAAAGTTCTTTAAAATGGTCAAACCATTCCTGAGGTGGAATGGGGTAATCTTTTCTCACAGTACCATTCATTCACTTGACCTGCTTCCAAAACGCTTTGCTATCGCATACAGATTCTTCCAGTAATGATGTCTGTGCTTGGTTCTAACAGAGGTCTTATATCTGTTACGCAAAACTCTGTATGTATCGAAATGAGATTGGATCTTCGTAGTCCTATATGTTCACAATGCTTTTCTGGCCTCAACTTTGTTACCATGACATTCTCTATTATATCAAGTGTTTTTAAGCCGCTTACAGAAAGGTTTGACATTGATGCATGTTCAAGTATATTTTCCGTGAATAAACCAACAGATTGGTTAATGCTTCTGTCAATTAGGTCTATAGCATTATCTAGAGCAAATAGAAATTCTGGAGACATAAGAGCTATTTCAAATTGTTCACGTAAGCATTCCATCCACACATATCTGTAACTGTGTGTACCCTCTGCCCTGGCTGTGTTGGTGTTCGTTGTCAAACCAGACAGTAATGTCACTTAAATTGCTTGGTGTTGAGACTCGACTCTTGACAAGGACTTGTATATAGAGAACAAGTGTGTAGATATCAGACAATAGTCTATGAGACTAGATCCATTGTGACATGGGTATGTACACACGCCGGTACTGGAGTCACTGCCACATCTGCCGTTCATCATGTGGATGTCCAGCGATATACATAAGTTAATCTAACTTCTTTCAAATGGATTAACTATATGTTCTTCTGACACACGTGGTATATCAAACGGATCTTCATTGTGTCCTGTTATATCATCAGCAGTAGAATCCTGCAGATTTCCGGTCCGAGCATTGTGGTCGCCACCAAGTATGACGACTGGCTGGGAGGTGCAGTCCTGGAGGACGTCCAGGATATCACTTTATAATATGGTTATTCCGTTTTTGTCATCACAGTCTGAATAGAAAGTAGAACTTGCTGGGGGTACATAAACACAGGACCGCCTCCGTGGTGTAGTGGTTAGAGCGTCCGCCCGGAGAGCAGAAGGTCGCGGGTTCGATCCCCGGCCGCGTCATACCAAAAGACGTAAAAATATGGTACTTGTTGGTCCCTGCCTGGCGCTCGGCATTAATGGGTCGGCTCGGAGTCAGTATACTGTGTCTGAGTGTGGTATTCATGCTTCACTGCGGCATGGTATCTCAGTGGGCTAGCACTATAAACCCAGCTTCAGTCTGGGCTAGTACAAGCAACCGCACATACACATACACACGCATGCACGTCGTCATATGAGCGAAATATTCTCAAGCACGACGTTAAACCCAATTTCACCCCACCTCACCTCACATAAAAACAACAATATAAAACATGTCTATCAAATGCAAAAAGTTCATTTTTTATACCCAGCTGTGTATTCATAGTTGAAATCAGCAGTATTCATAGTTGGCCATGTTTCTACCATACCAAAAATGTCATGGCTTTTCACAAAGTTAATAAAGTCTTCATCATGAAGTTTATTTTGAATACACAAATGATAGGCATTCTGATTGGGCCTGGCCTGTTTGCTATAAGACAGGCGACTCTCCGTTGCCTGCCTCGCTCTGTATGTATAGTCCGTAGCTTTGTCACATGGAATCGACAGGCCAACGCTGGTGATTTGTTTCATAATTTAGGCCACCGGAATATAAAAGTTGTTTAACAAACGATCATTATTTTGTTGTCACTTTTCGCTATTTCTTACGAGGGGGGAACACTTGCTGGTAGAACAGCCAGATAATCAAAAAGCGTGTGCAGTGACATTTAAATTTCACACGTGCAACTCGCACACCTGGCTGTCCGACTTTGTTGACGTTTGATATTTCGCCATTTTCCCGATCTGTCTCAAGCCGGGTGGTTGACAGAAACATCCTATTCTGGTTCTCCAAGCTGCTAAATCAGTCATTTTCACACGTAAGGAGTCTCGCGATACAGTTAGATAAAGCAGGTACACTCTGGGGAGGGTAACGTCAAGTTAAAATGTCGTTTTTCATGAATTTACATTCATGCTCAACAAACTGGACTCCCTTACCGGACGCATGCGCAAATATGTGTGATTTGGTCAATTAACACTAATTGGGATACTTGCTGTTTCAGTCTGTCGCGTGAACAACTCAGCACAGAGACCAGACCAATTCTATCTGCCAAATTGGATGTGTCGATGAAGTCAAACCGGAGACTTTCTGGCAGGTCCTTCTTGCACACTTCGGTTGCCTCTCCCAGCCACATGTAGATCTACAAAACAATACACCATGCCGTGAAAATAACAATCTTATTTACAAGACACTATTTACACTATATAGAATACACTAGGAGCTTTTGATCAACGTTTTCAAACATTGGTTTTTACTATGGAATGTGCGTGTGCGTGCGTGTGCGTGTGCGTGTGCGTGTGCGTGTGTGAGGACGGTGGTGGATATATATACTTTTCAATCCGACCTTAAAAGTTTTTCGGAAATCCTCTTTTATTTTATGTTATTTATGAATGACATCGGAATTACTGCCGCTTCCTGTTTCAACCTAAATCTTGTTAACCTTTCATTCAGTATAGCGTCTGTACCTTGAGAACACAGTCATCTTCCATTGCTGCCTGGAAACTTTCCACCCACTTCTTTAGCATCTCCATACAGAGGGAGGCGAGAGTCACCGTATACCCATCGTACCTAGGTGTGACCACAGTTCACGTGAGCATACAAAAATATATAGCAACGACAACTTTGTATGCACGACCGGATAATGAATAGAAATAAGTCTCTCATATTTTCCGTGTTATGTGAAAAGAAAACTCTCTCACGCTTACAAATAAACGCTAGGCACCTTGATGATGTTTCTATACCTGTGGAGTTCCAGGTCGATGTCGTGAGAAAAGTATGGACAGCATTCGTCAGGGACAGCCCATGTATTACATCCAGGTCTCAACAGGGTCATGTTGCCACTGAAGCTATCCACCACCCGTTTAGACGAGAGCGATTGTAAATTGACCCTCGTAACTCCAGTTGTGATATAGTCGCGGATCTCCTGATGGTATCTGCTCATATTAAAGAAGCATATTAAACAGTAAGTGGATGAGTCTAGTTATATACCGCATTTAGGGACATAAGAAATGGGTTTCACACTATGTGACCATGTGGGGAATCGAACCCGAATGAAAGGATCCGCTGAACCACTGGTTTGTCATTTGAAGTTATACTAGCCTATTGATTGGGTAATATTACCCCTTTTTGAGGATTTGGAGAACGATCTATTGAATTACTGTTGATTTATTGATATATGTTTAATACAAGTAATTATGTATATTTTTTTTGCAAATTTGCCTAAATGTTTAGTTATTAGTGCGTGGCAAATGATTATTTTTTCCACATCCAAGAAACTGTCGGAAATGACATATGTAGATAGTCATACTATCTTGCAGACACCATACACCAACTGGACCATCGCAATTATAACATTGAGACGGACTTCTCTTGAACTTTAACGTCCATTTGATTTGCTAGAGGCGTAGTATGTTGTACAAAGATGGCAGAAATATAGAATTAATGCTCTATGTCATTGTTTACTTTGATGTGTTTGATTCATTTTGTACATATTGTTCTCAAGTAATGCATTGATTCAATCAATTACGGAATCAATCAGTACGGAAATAGATAGAATACATTTAATAAATATATAGACATATGATTGGAGCGATGTTCGAAATAACGAAAATCACTGTCGTATGTATATGCTACTCTGATGTCCCACCTGACTGTTAGATGAATATATGGAGACGTGGTTCGTATGCTAATGAGTAGGTGACATACCTGTCCTTGAGTCGCTGTACTTGGTCAAGGCGACCACACTGGGCACTCACATTCTTTGAAACCCAGTCTACTGCTGTCTGGGGTAGGTCAACTTTAGGACGGACCAGTTCTCCTGTTGTCCAGTCCATGATTAACTTTGGCATGTCTGATCTGTACAGCCGATTTAGGAATTCCAATCTTGTATCTGTCATTTGTTTACCATTCATTTCAGCTTTCTCCATACCACGAAGAGCCCTTTTGATGGAGTCTTCACTTTTCATATTTCCAAAATACACCCCATTATTGCCTGACTGGACTAACGACACTTCCATCATCACTTGCTTCAGCCTCTGTAGGTGTTCCTGTGACAACAAGACATCATACCAGACTCCCCAAAGAAACTTCAAATCTTCCGAGTTATCTGGATCAATTGTTCCAGCGAGGTAGAGCAAAATCAGATCGCGTCCCAAGATACTGTCTTCAATGTCATTGAGGTGGATGTTGATTGCCTGATCTTTTACTTTTGTGGTTCCTCTTGTCTGAAGCTCGTGAATGGTGTGTAGGACGTTCCTGACATCTCCACACCCAAGTAACAGCAGGTCACATTCCTTGTCAACCTGACATCCAAGCGTCACATCAACTGACCTCGTGTTTCCAATAGGATAATACAGGAACAGTGGATGGTGGGTAGTCGTCGCCATATTGCTATAACACAAACAGTACAAATCAACAGGGGAAGTTCCTTAACTGACAGTAGTAATTGTTGAGTGAGTGAGATAAAATTTGCACCTTCGCTGTAGTGATTGCCTTGTACAGAGATTACTAGATACTGAAAGCGTCATAAAGATTTTACAACAGTTAGTAAACATTTGGTTACTCAGTAAACAATATGTGACATGATGGATTACTTCATAATAAAGACGTTACGTCTTTGGGAATTTCAAGATAAGAAGTAGAAGACGTAGACATCTCAAAGGGCGCCAACTGTGTTCCCCTTGCGCTGAACCTTTTCTTTATGCAAGAGACTCAATATTGTAAGCATAAAGCTGCACGCAATGTGTCCGCGGTCTGTTCCCTATACGTTACTTACACTAGCGTTGCTAACTCGAAAACTCGATAATTCCGGTTCGATGGTGTATCTTCACTCAGTCACGACACAAGGAGCTACTTTAAGAGTTATTTCAAAACTGCAGAGAAAACTTTTTCTGATTATGGGCCGAAACAGATTCCATGGCACCAGAAAGGCATATGTTATATAATTATATTATTACATACTGCACATTATGTAATGTACATATATTATATAACTATGTAATAATCATGTAGTAATGTGACTTTGAGCCACACCATCTGTGGTCTGTACGATGTTCATATATCGGGGAATGGTACTGCGACAAACCCAAATTTGATTATGCGACAAAACAAAACAAGCTGTGAAGGGCGGAGTATTATGTGGTATATAAACAGGATGACACACGTATTGAGCAGAGGTGAGGTGAAATTGGGTTTAACGTCGTGCTTGAGAATATTTCGCTCATATGACGTATTGAGCAGAAGACTGGTGTAATGTTTACCTTTTGGTAACCCGCTATAGATCTTACCTTTCCCAATGAAAAAACACATACCATTTTACCAGACTGTGTACATGTCTGCCACCCATGACAATAACACTTCTAGGAATGTGCGCGACAGCTTCAGTTTCGTTTTAGATTAAAAGAAAGGGGAAATGAATGCATGCATTAAACGCCCAGTACATTGGCAATAAACTTCACAAGTGAATGAACAATACATTGATCGTTACGCGGCACACAGAGCATATCAACTTTCGTGGAGAGAATGAATAACAGCAGGTGGAGTGTGTGAGAAGCATCTTGATGTGCAGTTTGGATGGTAACATTATTGTGTGTGTGTGTGTGTGTGTGTGTGTGTGTGTGTGTGTGTGTGTGTGTTACATAGATAGATAGACAGACAGACAGATAGATAGATAGATGATGTAATGGTTAATTTGGTTATGATTTTGTCTGCTGACGTGCCAAACCCAGTCACCTTCTCGTTATACAAGAAACCTCAGAAACCTAGTCTTCATGTGACATTTTGCATAAAATATGTTTAAGAAATCGTACTTTCCCTGGCAAAATATGCTTATCTACGTATACCGCTCTTAGCAGTTTCTTTCTATGACGTTTGTGATAGCGTTATTATTTCATTTTAGATGAAGGGAGACAATTCTACAACACCTACGAATGGGTGAAAATGGATTTTCCCGTGGGACCTTGATGTATTCTTTACTGTTACTAACGACTTGGTACGTTTCCTCACTTCGTTTAATGCGATATATTTAGATATATAAGAGTGATATATTATATTTGATATTTCACAGTACAAATTAATTGCATGTTCAGACGTTTATATATGTATGTATGTATGTATGTATGTATGTATGTATGTATGTATGTATGTATGTATGTATGTATGTATGTATGTATGTATGTATGTATGTATGTATGTATGTATGCGTGTGTGTGTGTATGTATGTATGTGTGTGTGTGTGTTTGTGTGTTTGTGTATATTTGTGTGTGTGTGTTTGTGTATATTTGTGTATATTTGTGTGTATATATGTGTGTGAATATTCATTCATATGCTGAACCACAAAAGGAAGGTCTCCTTTCAAAACCAAATGCAAAATTTTGTTCTTACAAGGTGGTGTTTTTATTATGATTGTACCGTTTTCTTAACATGTTTTTCACTCCAAATTGACAGTTATTACCAACATCAGTGCGTTTCTTTTCTGATAAAAAACATGTCGACCAAACACACCTAAAAAGGCAGTGGTAAAAGGTTTCGTATGACATTCGTGAACATGAAAATGCACGTGCATATCGTGACAACCTTACCTATGACAGCGAGTCCCTAACTCGCCTGAAATCATTCTTGTTTTAACCTAATCGTCATGCCACGACTTACGAGTGATTAGAGGAACCAAGCCTTGGGACGACTGCAAATTGGCCAGACTGCATGGAGGGTAGCCATCATTTCAATGTCCATATTAGGACAATCTACCGACAGCAGGAGCGGTACCAGGCCACTAACAGCATCCGAGACCTTCAGTAACATCACAACGTCAAGTCAGACAAATTGTGTCAACTATCTGCAGGGTCGCTTCACCAGAACGACGGAAACAGCACGCCAGACCATTGGGACTCACAACAGACCCATCAGTGTCGATACAGTGCCTTGACGTTTTCGAGGAAGAAACATCTGCTGTCACAGACCATATCGTGGTCCTGTCCTCACCGCTCGTCACGCCACAACCGATTGCGTTATCGACAACGAAGAACTGTGTTTTTTTCAGATGAAAGACGATATTGTGTTTCGACAACCGATGCCAGAGTGAGAGTAGGGCAAAGGCGTGGGAAACGGTTTCCCAATGGGTGTATTGCTGAAAGAGACTCGTGGGGTGGATCAAGCATCATAGTGTGGGGTGCAATCGGTCTGAACCCCTTCATTAAAACTACTCTTTTCGATCTTTAATTCCCTTAAATCGACCTTTTTGACAAAGTGCACAATTCTCACCCGCGTACGAAATTTCAACCAATCAGAGCGGGACGTCTCTGTGACGTCATATGAGGAATAGATATGTACATTTCAGGGGGTATATTATCTCGTTTACAGGTTTGTATAAACCTGAAATCGTGACAACCTTTGTGAACAAATGAAAGCTATATGTTCTCACAATCTACTGTCATTTATGTTTGTCTCCTGCTTTGCCTAGTTTCCGAGTTACAACTTGTTTTCATAGACGATTCTGTCAAAATCGCTTGGTGTCGCTAGGCCTTATTTGTTCGAGCCAGACGCTAGTGATAGTGAAACGATGATCAGCCTCGCTCATCACGGTTACGGTTAATTTCTTCAAGCTAAACAGTGCGACATTAAGAAGGGTGGATGCCCATCAGATGCAGTTATTTGAAAATATCCCCGGTAGTTCTTGTCTGATTGTAATAAAGTATCAAAACAGTGTGGGCTTTTTCAGGTTTTCTAATGCCTGGATGGTACAATGACTGATCCAAATTGATCCCATTTCTGTTTTTTTTTACCTCGATATTTAATCATGTCATGTAAAAATATGACGTCTATTACGTATGATATTAAAATTGACATTTGAATCCGTAAACTAAACAACCCTACTTGGATCGGATTAACCGATAACACGCTGATTGATTCATTACGTTTATCTTGCACAGCAGATTTGTCAAAAGGTAGTGTTTATGTATGTAGATTTACTAATCTATCCTGAATGCACTCTGTCGTGTCTATGTAAAAACAACGTCCTTCTTTCAAAGGATTAACCGCCAATACATTGATTGATTGCTCATTATTGGCTAACGAAATAACTTTTTTTAAAGAATGGCGGACATTATGCAATTAGTTGCCAGGTGTGCTATCTTGGGTGACCAATGAGACTATACACCAATGTGAAAACGCAGTATACAAACCAAAATAGGAACTTGCCTTTTATTGGTTACTGCAGTGGCATTAGTCGTACCTTCGGCCTTTCTAAGGTATACGTTTTCAGGGAAGCACTCGAGGGTACAAATCTCTTCGTCGTGTGACATATTGTTAGTTGTGTGCCTGTCTAATCATAATGTGTAATCTCTACTGTACGGTCAAACGGGTGGGGTTGTTGTGATGCCAGTTTGTGCGAGGCCAAAAGGCTCGTCTCATCAAATTAAAGCACTGAGGAGATGTTGTTCTTCTCGCGTGTAAACCCACATCAAACTTGTGTACTCATCTATTTCCTTATTGGAATAGGGAGTGAAACTCACAACTCTAATCAACTCCGGATAAAAGCTACTGTGAACATAGGGTTGTATCTTTGAACAGTTATTTTCTGCGATTTTACTGCTTGACATCTTGGTCCTGTCCTGCATGACCCTTGTAAAAATCCTCAAGTATGGTGATGATGAACTTATAATTATAGTCATGGCTAATGAAGGATTCGAACCCAATATCATCGGTTTCATAACGGTACGCATCTGCGCGGACAAGTGGACCAGCCTTGCAGCCCCAGCTTTAAGAGGTGATATTTTAACCTCTAAAATAAACTAAACAAATGCAGCAAATGTTGGATATCAAGAAGTTAGTTCCGTTTGCTTTGTCGTGCTCAGTTGACAGTATATACAAAAGCAAACATTACTCACAAAATGGTAGGAGCCAGACTGCCAGAGTCTTGATGGCAACTGAACTATCAACAATTATATATTGATTATAATCATTTCATAATTCGTGCGTGAAGAAATATGCCTCAATAATATTACGGAGACATCTCGACAAGAATAGGTCTCAGATTCGAACCCAGGCTTTGCACGTGATGATTGAAGTGTTATGACCATGGACATACCCCGCAGTTCTCATGATAATCATGATTTCACAAATGTAGCCATCTTTGATCACAGTTTGTATGTTATTTGGGTTCAGTTGCAAAACTTGCATTATAAAACTATGAAATAAACATAATAATTCAGCTGACACTGTTGACATGTGTAAGGGGCGGTGGGGTAGTCTAGTGGTTCAAGCGTTCGCTCGTCACGCCGAACACCCAGGTTCTATTCCTGGTGTTGCCCGCCGTGATATTGCTGGAATATTGTTAAAGTGGCGTAAAACTAAACTCAGTCACTGACAAATTTGGAAACGGCTTGATCTTATTTACAATAAAACCTTTTGAAAACTGTCATGGACCATCAATGCTGTAGGTTAGACCACAAAACCTTTAAAGAGTATGACGCCTACATGTATAACAACAGAGTACCCCAGCATATGACAAACAGGGTTTTAACATAGTATCTGGCAGACAAGGTGTCTACAAACAGGGTATCTGACAAACAGGGTGTCTACAAACAGGCTATCTGACAAACAGGGTATCTACAAACAGGGTATCGGAAAAAACAGAGTATCTACAAACAGGGTATCGAACAAACAGGGTGTCTATAAACAGGGTGTCTGCAAACAGGATATCTACAAACAGGGTATCTGACAAATAGGGTGTCTACAAACAGGGTATCGCACAAACAAGGTATCTACAAACAGGGTATCTACAGACAGGGTATCGGACAAACAGGGTATCTACAAACAGGGTACCCGACAAATAGGGTATCTACAAACAGGATATTTACAAACAGGGTATCTGACAAGTAGGGTATCTACATACAGGGTATCTACAAACAGGGTATCTGAGAAATAGGGTATCGGACAAACAGGGTATCTGACAAATAGGGTATCTACAAACAGGGTATCTGACAAACAGGGTGTCTACAAACAGGGTATCTACAAGCAGAGTATCGGACAAATAGGGTATCTGAGAAATAGGGTGTCTACAAACAGGGTATCTACAAACAGGGTATCGGACAGACAGGGTATCTACAAACAGGGTATCTGCCAAATAGGGTGTCTACAAACAGGGAATCTACAAACAGGGTATCTGACAAATAGGGTATCTACATACAGGGTACTAGTATCTACAAATGTTGTACACAGGTTGAAATAAGCCAAAATCCGCCATTTTGATTTTATGACGTCATCATCGAACACCTGGCTGACCTCATTTCACAGGGGTGTCAATGACCTTGTACCGAGTTGACCTTGGATTAAACCGATTTCCCAGGGGTATTTTTAGACTCAAGTGGGCAATATAAGGCCCCCGAACAGTCCCCATGTCATTCAGACTTCAATGCGATGCTCATTGTACAATACTGTGTGTATTTGTGACTATTTGAGAATAAATCAATTTTGGTTGTCATTGGTTGATGTGGTGTATAAAAGTCCTAACAAAAGGTAGGTGAAGGGAGAGCAGAGTGGCACAGTGGAAGCGCACTGGGCTCATAACCCAGAGGACCGTGGATCGAAACCACGCTCTGCTAACAACATGTTTTTAGAATTAGGGCTAGCAGACATCTATATAAAGGACAGAAACGGTGATTTAGCTTCATTTAGCCGTGGACCCGTGATAGTGACACTTCATCTGAAACCTCTGTGTGAGAGTCAGTATTCATTCTGAACAAGATAATGAACAGACGATACTGGAGACCCTATTTGGACGATCCTAAGAAATGGACCAAATATTACTATTTGCAGGCTAAAGGATATCCCAATCCCTTTACTAACGTGGATGATTATGTGATCTATTATGAGAAACAAGGGGTAAAGATAGACCTAACCCCTTCTACAGAAAAGTTTGCTCTCACGTCTCCAACCCAACAAGTCGTTCAACAGGCCAGAGCACGTATTCAGATGCAGGAGAACGGGGAAACTGAAGCCAAAATAATGACTTCCTCCCAGAGTCGCACAAAGAAACGGAAGACGTATTTTTAGATAAAAGCAGCTAGTAGACAGGTTCTTTGCCATTTAGACTCGGACCACCATGCAGTCAGCGACGTGTCCCGTGTGCTATCAAACGTTTTCCAGAAGGGATGCCATGCTTAGACATCTCAGGAATCAACACAGACGAGCAATGCAGCCACCACCACCACCACCACGAGCACCACCACAACCGCCACCACCACCACCACCACCACGAGCACCACCACAACCGCCACCACCACCACCACCACCACCACCACCACGAGCACCACCACCACCACCACCTATGATGCAACCAGTGCAACCACATGTGGGTGCTTTGGAAGAATGTAGACTGATACACCCCTTCACCATGATTGTCTCAGGGCCCACCTCCTGTGGGAAAACGTACTTAGTGAAACAGATTCTAGAACGCATGAACATTAAACCTTATCCTGAACGTATTATTTGGCTCTACAAACGATGGCAGCCCTTGTATAACACCATTCAAACCCATGTTTATCCCTATGTGGAATTTCATCAAGGCATTCCTTCTGATCTCGAAAAGGATGCGTTTCTGGACCCCATGTGGTGAATGTGGTGATCCTCGACGACTTAATGTCGACAGCGAGCAAAGATCCCGCATTACAGATCTGTTTACGGAAGGAAGTCATCATCGTAATCTCTCAGTGATAGCCTTGAACCGGAATTTGTATTTCAGTAGGATCCCACACAACGAAGAAACTGCCATTATCTGCTTCTGTTCAACAACCCTATCGATCAACAACCCATCATGACTTTGGCGAGGCAAATGTATCCAGGTAACACAGACCGTTTCATGGAGCCGTTTCAAAGGGCTATCCAGAAACCATATGGTTACTTGTTGGTTGATCTAAAACCCCAAACACCTCCCCATTTGCGACTTTGCCCCAATGCATTCAGCTTAAAAGGAGACAACCAAGCTAGGACCATTCAGTCCAAGTTAGACTTTCGGCGTGAGCAGACGTGTGAAGAAACCTCCCAACCATGCCATCTTGTGATGACTGTGGACTCATGTTTCAAGACGTGCATGATTTGCAAAAACACAGAAGAAACTGGTGTCCTGTAAAGTCTTCAGTGTGTCTACCGGGAATACCCCAAGTTAAAAGGAAGAGGGAGGAAGACGACAACTTCTCTCCTGTGAAGGCACCGCGTACACTGTCAGATTGTGACTATTGCGGTCAAGTGTTTAGCAATAACCACAACTTACAAAGACATTTACACGATAAACAATGTCCTGAAATGGAAAATGATGATGATGATGATGAATCATTAAACGAAGTCGCACAAAACAACAGGAAAAAAAGATGGCTGATCTCGAAGAGCAAGGTATAAGACAAATGTATTCACGTACACGTGAGCTGAATAAAGACTTTTTGGATGAGAAACGACAGCTGTACATGAAAAGAGGTTTAAACGAAGACACGATTCAAGCCAAACTGAACAAATACATGTGGAGCACGTATAAAGAGACGTATGCCTGGTTTATTACTTATCTGTTCCATATGCAGTATGGTCCAAAGACACAAGGAATACTGAAACAAGTAGGAGACACAAATAATCTGTATCATGATGTGTTTTCCAATCTGTACCAATATAAGTCTTGGGTCGAAGGCTTGACCGAAGATGATAATGCAGACATAACATCTGATGAAGAGAGTGAAGGCCATGATGATTAGGAACGGTGATAAGACAACAGATGTAAAGTAAACTTCTGGGAGCGCTCCTATCCGTAGTTGTACTCGTTTTGAAACGGAGCTAATAAAAAATGAAAATCAGTTTATCTTGTTTTTTTTTGTGATGTATACCTCGTTGGGAGCCACATTAACTAAGTGCGCCTAGTGGCAGCAAGATGCTCCCCGGGGAGTTGAGAATGGTGATTGACATCCAAGGAAAAAGTTACCAGCCCTTTGAGCATGCATGCGGTATGGACTATAGTGCTATATAAATACCCATATGAAAATAATATACACCTGTGAATTGTCATTTATGATTACTCTTTCATGCTAACACTATACAATTACACCCCTTTCCTGATGGAATTTTAGAAAGTTGAAAGTTGCATTCCTAAATATGATGTACAAAAACCCCATGACCAGAACGCACATTTCAAAGCTGACACGCCCTAGCTAGCGTTCATTCTAACGAGCATTTTTATTTATGGGTGTTTTACACTCACGAGAAATGTCGTCAGGCTATAACTGTCGACAGAAACCTCCCTCCCTCTACCACAGCAGTGCCCCGTCCCTCCCTACCCCTCCCGCCACAGCATAGTCCCACACACGCAAATGTGGGTCACCAGATCGCGTCTCTGCTAGCACTGTGAGAGGGAGAGTATTTTGCACAACACAATCCCAGATATAACATATGTTCTATTTACATGGAAGGTGCAATATTAGTCTCATGTGTTTTGGTGGTTGATTCATTCAATACAATCACAAACATAACATCTCAATATCATCCCTGATTCCTAAATTTATCGCATTACAAGGCAGGATACAATGACAATATGGATTGGATATTCAAATATGGAATGTGAATACCGGTAAGTTTGAAATACATTTGAAATTCTATTGAGTTGGGTTGTTCTGGTGATGGTCAAGACAAACTCAAATCATTTTCATGTGGCAATGAACGCTGATTGCATTGAACAAATGTGTTATAAAACCCGTATAATTTCTTTTACACATATGAGTGCACATGTTTGACTAGACTAATGTTTAGTCTCTGAATGTATTATCTTGATAGTAACAAACAAACCTATTTAAATTGACACAAGGAGCCCAAGGCAGACCTGGGGAAATCTAGACTTCATTTAGAGCCTTAGCTTGGTGCAGGGAGGGAGGGCTAGGCTGTAGGCAAAATAATATGGGTCAGACACGTGAGACAGGCTAATGTTAGACCCACGATTTTGAGTACAACTTGAGGAGGTATCATATTACACCTCGGCTGAGTGAGACGAGGGAAGTGTGTGGAGGCTGCGACTGTTAATTCACCATGCCTCAACGGCGCGCGCTCTGAGATGACAGATTTTCTCCACAGGCCGCAGAAAAGGTTATTGAGTATAGAAAATATAAACATTTTGTAAGAGGACAAAATGATAACTTCAACTGACTGTCAGAGGGTTTTTTTAATAGGTAAAATTGAAACCGGACGAAACTAGTTTGTGGTCAGTGGTCCAGTGAACCCCGATAGTTGTTCTACACTGATTGGTCTAAATTAATGGGATGATGTCATGGTGTGATGCTATGATGTGTTTCCCACGGGACGCGCGGTTATTGACCCCTCGGTCAGGGTGAGTCACACCGGAGTGAGTTTGCACACTCTTACACATGTAAATCTACATGAATACCCTGATGTCATTCTTTTTCGGTTGCTATGCTCCTGATCTAAAAATACCTCTTGGAAAAGTGGTTTAATCCAAGGTCAACTCAGTACAAGGTCATTGACACCCCTGTGAAATGAGGTCAGCCAGGTGTTCGATGATGACGTCATAAAATCAAAATGGCGGATTTTGGCTTATTTCAACCTGTGTACAACATACAAACAGGGTATCTGAGAAATAGGGTATCGGACAAACAGGGTATCTGACAAAAAGGGTATCTACAAACAGGGTATCTGACAAACAGGGTGTCTACAAACAGGGTATCTACAAGCAGAGTATCGGACAAATAGGGTATCTGAGAAATAGAGTGTCTACAAACAGGGTATCGGACAGATAGGGTATCTACAAACAGGGTATCTGAGAAATAGGGTATCTGACAAATAAGGTATCTACAAACAGGGTATCTGACAAACGGGGTGTCTACAAACAGGGTATCTACAAGCAGAGTATCGGACAAATAGGGTATCTGAGAAACAGGGTGTCTACAAACAGGGTATCTGACAAATAGGGTGTCTACAAACAGGGAATCTACAAACAGGGTATCTGACAAATAGGGTGTCTACAGACAGGGTATCTGACAAATAGGGTATCTACAAACACGGTATCGGACAAACAGGGTACCTGACAAACAGGATATCGGACAAACAGGGTATCGGACAAATAGGGTATCTACAAACACGGTATCGGACAAACAGGGTACCTGACAAACAGGGTATCGGACAAACAGGGTATATGACAAATAGGGTATCTTCAGACAGGGTATCGAATCAACAGGGTATCTACAAACAGGGTATCTACAGACAGGGTATCGAACAAACAGGGTATCTACAAACAGGGTATCTGAAAAATAGGGTGTCTACAAAGAGGGTATCGGAAAATAAAGGGTATCGGACAAATAGGGTGTCTACAAACAGTGTATCGGACAAACAGGGTATCTGACAAATAGGGTATGTACAAACTCGGTATCGGACAAACAGGGTACTTGACAAACAGGGTATCGGACAAACAGGGTATCGGACAAACAGGGTATATGACAAATAGGGTATCTGAGAAATAGGGTATCTACAAATAGGGTATCGGACAAACAGGGTATCTGACAAATAGGGTATCTACAAATAGGGTATCAGACAAACAGGGTATCGGACAAATAGGTTATCAGACAAACAGGGTATCTACAAACAGAGTATCGGACAAATAGGGTATCTACACACAGGGTATCGGAAAAACAGGGTATCGGACAAACAGGGTATGTACAAACAGGGTATTGGAAAAATAGGGTATCTACACGCAGAGTATCGGACAAACAGGGTATCGGAAAAATAGGGTATCTGACAAATTGGTATCTGCAGCCATGGTATTGGACAAACAGGGTATCTAACAGATAGGGTATCGGACAAACAGGGTATCGGACAAACAGGGTATCTACGAATAGTGTATGGGACAAACAGGGTATCGGACAAAAAAGATATGGGACAAACAGGGTATCTACGAACAGTGTATGGGACAAAGAGGGTATCTACAAAGAAGGTATCTACAAAGAGGGTATCTACAAACAGGGTATCGGACAAACAGGGTATGTACAAACAGGGTATCTACAAACAGGTTATGGGAGAAACAGGGTATCTACACACACGGTATCTGACAAACAGTGTATCTACAAACAGGGTATCTTCAAACAGGGTATCTGACAAACAGGGGATCTACAAACAGGGTATCTACAAACAGGGTACCTACAAACAGGGTATCGGACAAACAGGGTATCTACAAACAGGGTATCTACAAACAGGGTATCTACAAACAGGGTATCTATAAACAGGGTGTCTACAAACAGGGTATCTACAAACAGGGTATCTATAAACAGGGTGTCTACAAACAGGGTGTCTACAAACAGGGTGTCGGACAAACAGAGTATCGGACAAACAGGGTATCTGACAAACAGGGTATCTATAAACAGGGTGTCTACAAACAGGGTATCTACAAACAGGGTATCGGACAAACAGAGTATCGGACAAAGAGGGTATCTGACAAACAGGTTATCTGACAAACAGGGTATCTACAAACAGGGTATCTGACAAACAGGGTATCTACAAATAGGGTATCGGACAAACAGGGTGTCTACAAACAGGGTATCTACAAACAGGGTATCTACAAACAGGGTATCTGACAAACAGGGTATCTACAAACAGGGTATCGGACAAACAGGGTATCGGACAAACAGGGTATCTAGAAACAGGGTATCGGACAAACAGGGTGTCGGACGAACAGGGGATCTACAAGAAAGGTATCTACACACAGGATATCTACAAATTGGGTATCGAACAAACAGGGTACCTACAAACAAGGTATCGGACAAACATTGTATTTATATTTATAACAACAGAGTATCGGACAAACAGGATATCAACAGAGTATCTGGCAGACAAAGTATCTACAAACAGGGTATCTACAAACAGGGTATCTACAAACAGGGTTTGTGACCAATGGGGCGAGCCCGAACCCACACAGCAGATAAACAAGCCTGACAACATTACAGTTACTCCATGGTTTCCAGGCAACTGACGACAGACCTCACGGCCGAGCGAACACGAGACTATCGTTTACAAGTGACGTATGAACACAAGGGGTTGTCTCAAAACGTTATCTGTGCGTATTATGTCAACACTTTGTAAATAAGTTCGTAAACAAGGACTGTGTTAGTTTGCTGAGATGAAATAGCGCTCTTTGTTTCACTACTATAATGACGTGCATTCACGTGTGTTTGTACAACATTAATTGTGTATAAACTCTTCGAAAATCATGTTTTTCTTCTATGACCATAGACCGCCTCCATGGCGTAGTGGTTATAGCGTCCGCCCGGAGAGCGGAAGGTCGCGGGTTCGATCCCCGGTCGCGTTGATCTCTGTCTGGCGCTCGGCATTAATAGGTACAACAAAGACTGGTCGGCTCGGAGTCAGTATAATGTGTCTGAGTGGGGTATTCATGGTTAACTGCGGCATGGTATGTCAGTGAGCTAGCACTATAAAACCAGCTTAAGTCTGGGCTAGTACAAGCAGCCGCACATACACACGCATGCACGTCGTCATATGAGCGAAATATTCTCAAGTACGACGTAAAACCCCATTTCACCTCACCTCACCTCACCAGTTTTGAGGGGAAATTACGCCACAGTACGTGTGCGTCGGGAAATGTACATACTCCGAGTATTACTGGACAGATAATGCAGATTGTAGACAATATGTGATACAAAAACACCCGTCAGTCAAATATTTCTGCTATAATTATGTCATGACTAATATATATCACATCAAGTTACATTCTAGTTACTTATCCCATTGCATTTGAGAGGAAGAGACTATGTTGACGCGGTTATGATACAAGCGAATAAAACAATAGGCGGATCCAGAGTAGGTTTGGGGGTGGGTGTGGGGGTGTGTGTGCACGGGTGCGCATTCCGAAGGCCCCCCCCCCCCTCCCATCTCCCCCCTTTGTCCTGGTTTATTAAATGACCATTGAAACTCTCATGAAAACGGGTGAAAATAAACTTACACCCACCCCTTCCTCAAAAAGCTGTATCCGCCCCTGATAACTATGTCTCGTAACGACCATTCTCCCCCGCCGTGATATTGCTGGAATATTGCTAAAAGCGGCGTAAAACTAAACTCAGTCAGTCAGTCAGTCGTAACGACCGGCAGTGAGCAAACCCATTTGGTTTGTGAAAGGTAGAGCAGATGTAGGCTAGTGCACGTGCATTACATGACGATGAAATTGATTCCGCGAGTTGCTCATAAGAATCTCACGTCGGAGTAGAAAGTCACACTACACTTGATCCAGGGCAACCTGGGGTCCTTCGCTCACAATGGCAACTTAGCAAGCGCCAGTGGGCGGTACTCATAGATGCTAATACGGGTCAATTGTCAGGTAGATTAGCTCGTACCAATGTTGGTACATCACTGCACTAACATATATTGGCGGATCCACACACGTACGCACGCACGGCTTTCCAAATTCCTGGATCCGCCAATGTATGTGAAGAGTAAGATACCTAGTCTACTTCTTGTCTACAGGATGAAGAGTGCATTGTGAAGGTAACTGATACTATACCAGCTGTGACATCAGTGCAGCCTATACAGATTCTGTCTCACTTATGCATACAGAATTACATAAATGTGCTTTGCCTTAAAACTTTTACAAACCTCTGTGATGTGCAGAATTGCAGTGTCAGTGGGACAAGGTTTGTGTTTCTGAAAAACTGTGGTTACTTTATAAGTTCCAAATTAGAACAAAAGCTCTTCAGCGATCGTATGTTCTGAAAGAAAATGTTTTGATAAATTGCTACGCATATACCATCGTATCAGTTGATTGAGAAGTAGCGTCTCGTCTATAGTTCAAGTGGATGTGGCTACCCCAGCTTATGGCATACCGTAGGTAAGTAAAGCCTTGCTAATGATAGATATAACGGTATCCATTGCACAATGGAGTGTTGTCAACGGATAGGGAGGGTGATTATAGCTTCCTGTGTGTGGATAACACCTCCGTCATTTCCACAAGGTATGTCGTGAGCTCGACAATAACATAGTGACGACGGTCTCCGCAATCGACACCTGTGACCTTGATTATCCAATTACTAAGACAGAGGTCGAAAACGCAGTTGCACGTGATAAACGTGGAAAGGCTGCAGGATTTGACCTACTCCCATCGGACTCACTGAAGAATGCGAGTATGTTCCGAAATTGTATTTAGATTGTTTACATTACGGCTTGAAAACAGCGTTTCCCCTGAGACTTGGCGTACTAGTACATAGGAGGATCCAGAGCGCGTGTGTGTGTGTGTGTGTGCGTGCATGCGCGCAACCCCTCCCTTTTGTCCTGAACGTTTATTAAATGACAACTGAAACTCTCGTGAAAGCGGATGAAAATGAACTGTGCATGTAAATAAAATGTTCTTCTTCCTAACATGACCCAGTTTGAGACGACCCCGAGCTGTTGGTACAGTGAACAGTTCACTGCGCAGGTGACGGCTTGTGAGGGCAGACAGACTGCGAGCCACCACATACTACCCCAGCAATGGAGGTCCTGGGTGTTGATATTACCCTGCCCCTGACTCTACTCGCGGGGTTCCTGGTGTTTGTATACATGTAAGTAATGCATCATTTGATTACAAAGTTGTCACATGATTATCAGTTGTTGTGTATGTTGGAGACAGATCACCGACAGTTGGTCGACTTGGTAAGAATAGTGTCAAGTGGCTGTGTACAATCCAAATGTGTACAGTATCGGACGATTCATGGGCCTCAAGGTTTTTAGAAATCACGTTCAAAGTTTAGTGGTGCTATAGTGGCTTGGGGAGAGAAGTATATTGCAGGTGCAGGTGTACCCGAGGTCGGATTATTGTGACGGGTGTCCAAGGCCGGGTCAGGGGTCTCTCCTCTGCTGACTCCGTCGGGATCTGGCTGGAATATTGCCATGCTATTGATATCCTCAGGTTGTGTAGTGAGATTTAGCTTTGGCAGAGTACAGGTGACACAAGAGGCCATGTTGTCGGACCTATTCAAAGATGATACGGATACAATACGAACTAGAAGCCATGATACAGGCTGAACTATTGAAGGCTGTCTGGTACAGTATATATACTGGACAAAATAAGTTAGGGATTTTTGTATGTTTAAGATTGATATTTTATCAGTGTGTCAATGCATAAATAGATCATTATTCATAATTTCAAAAGTTACATATATCCCTAATTACTTTTGTTCAGTATATTAGAAGCCAGGTCAGAGGCCGACCTATTGAAGGCTGTCGGGTACAGAACATACTAGAAGCCAGGTTAGAGGCCGAACTATTGTAGGCTGTCGGGTACAAGTCTTTGTTTACAAACAATGCTTCGGAACTTACCGGCCCTAAACAGTCACACTTCATTGCTTACATTCTTGCAAAACAGATGCAGTTAGACATAATATGTTTTGTCTCCTTCCAAAGTCAGTCGAAATTCGCGTTTCACTTTTGAGACTTTTAAATCTTGACAGGCTATGGGAAGTACTCGTATATAAGTTGTAGGAGTGATATGGGCGCGCATCTGGACTGTCAACTCAATATCCGGGCTTTATAGAATTGGGGGACTCAAGAATATTGTTATATTTAAATGGGTATGATTTTTCCCTTTCTGTATATAATTATGAAGCACTTGTGTGTATGGATAAATGGTTCATATAATGCCCACGATAGTGCGACGTTATATCCTAACACACGTGATGGCTAAAGTCCGTCGTGTTTTGATCAGATTTAGAAAGACAAACGTGTGTGTTTTTCCATCACGCCAGTACTGTATAGCGCTACGTCATGCACAGGACAAAGGAAGGCGGGCCAGTATTTACTACGCTCTCATCTGTAGCCAGCGAGTGAGTTAGTGGGCAGGTTATTATGTTAGTACTTACACCGAAACGTCGCACTCACTGCAATGAGGAAGCTGACTATCCATAGAAATTGCTTTTCCTTCACGTTTACAACTTCTAAAATGCCTATCAATGAAAAAAACACTTTTATAGGGACAGCATAATTTGTAAACAACAGCCGATAACAGCAAAGGTTACTTTGCTCTGCTCGTCTTTTTCCGCGAGAGAAGTTTCGACCCCAGTATCCACAGTGAAGGTATTTCACTGTTCTAACTTTCCCATTGCTGTTATAAGAGTTGTAAGTGTAAACAGACGGGCCAAATACAAGCCAGACGCTCTGCACATATTGTTTACACTCGGTAGTTAGTTCATGCATGCAACCGTCAACATACTGCCTTTCTAATGATTTCAATAGGACATATATCTCATGAATAGTTCGTCCTATGGCGCTTTACTTTTATTGTATCTGTAATGTACTATAGAGTAAGGATGTATATAGAAATACCTGACAATGTCAACCACCACCCCTCACTTAATCCGGCTTTATCGATACTTGACTGCATGAATGTTAGGTATTAATGGAAATCGGTTGGTCACTCTGTAAATGAACATATACGAACATATATAGAAAGTATGTAGAATCACCAAGAAAACGATATAAATGCAGTTATTTTTGTTTTATTTTTCTACATATTATTTGTCAAGCTCAAGCAATTTGGTTTTGCTATGTTCCAGTCTCACGATCCCCATTTCGTTTTACCTTTTATCTTGGTACCCTCAAAAAACGCAAAAGCTACAATAAATGCATCAAAAACTTCAGGAAACAAAATATGCAAGAAATATATTGTGTGTTTGCGATTGATAGAAGTCCCCTAGAATCACACTTAGATATTAAAGTTCATAAAACAGCAATTTGAAATTACAATCGCTTGTTAAAGAGACTCCCACCTTCATGTTGAGTGAAAGAGCTTGGTTTGGAGACACTATCCATCCCCCTTTCAGATGACGTAACGTAAGGGCATAGCTCATTCAAACTACATACTGACTGGTCACACAAGTGTCAACTCACAATATATTGTAAACAGTGCCAACTTGAATGTCTCGACACAATGTTTTTGAAAGATTAAAATGGGGGTGTCCTTAAAAAATAACCCCCGACTAAATATAAATCAGGCAATCGAAATCATTGACTGTTGATCATGACGCGAAGTCACCCAATACTATACTGAACATATTTTATATGACATTATCTGAGACAATACCATTATCCAAGAGGTACCAAAAGACAAATTGTTTTTCATTTTCTGCAATTTTGTTAGAAATATTATACCCCAATGTGTTGTGATGACAAATATCTGGTTAACCACATTACCCACACATGTGAAATTTTGGATATGGCTTTGCTAACGATTCCTTCAAAATAAAATGGTAGCTTTTCAAACATTGAACATCGAGAATATAGTTAGGCTCCGTACTTTTTGATCGACCCTCGCATATCATAGGCGGATCCAGAGGTAGGTGTGTGTGTGTGTGTGTGTGCGTGTGTGCGTGCGTGCGTGCGTGCGTGTGTGTGTAAGAGTGCGCACTCCCTTTCTGTCCTGAAAGTTTATTACAAGTGACAATATATCTCGGTAAGGCGGCCACATGGCCGAAAGTACATTTAAAGTACAAAGATATTGTGCACAGAGGTACAAGATAAGGTCGAGTTACAGTGCTGTGGAAAATCTATAGTTCATATTGGTAGATTTCTTTTTAGATAAATACTTAAGGATAATATATGTTCCTCATTAGTTGATGATAATAATTGATAATACTTGAAAAAATGATGGGTCCACATGATAGTGAGATGGAATAAACTTCTGACGAGTTTCTGCATAATAAGGACAAATAAGCAGACAATTATACTCATCTTCAATTTGCTGTAACTGACACTTGGAGCAGACTAATGCATTTCTATCAACATTCTTATTAAACCGATACTGCTGAATATTTAACTTATGTGAAAGACAGCGAAATTTACATAACATTCTTCTCAAATCTATTTTGTAAGCAAGGGAAGATATATACATTTCTGGGGTTAACAATGATTTTAACTCTGAATATGCACTGCGGTACCGGTAATGTGAAATGTTAATCTTATAATGCCAATCCTAGAACTTGACATGTTTACAACTTTGTTGAAAGTTTATTAAATGTCCATTGAAACTCTCGTGAAAAAAGGTGCACACACCACACGCACGCACGCACGCACGCACACACACACACGCACACACACCACCTTCTCAGAAGCTGAGTCCGCCCCTGTATATGATCATGTAGTTGACTGATACCTGTGTTCTTTTGGCAACAAACAGAATATAAAATGTTGGTTTTATAGGCAAACAACACATTCAACAGATAATTAAAATTTGGACAATCTACGTTCTCTTTTCTCTGCATATCACCCATACAACTTACATACATTTTGTTTACTTAGCGGAGTGTCTACTTTCTCAGGATCTCAGTATGGATCATTGGTTATAACCATATCTGTGTTTTAATGACTCTATCAAAGATGTAGTTAGTGCTAATACCACTCAGCCGTTTAGATTACCTGACAAAGACTATATACGAGGATTACATACATTTTTAAAGAAAAGTAAGAAACCCACAGGCGCTTTTAGCAGTTCATTTCGATATATTTTGACAGCAATCGTCATTAAGACAATTCCTTTGCTTGAATCCCGTTAATCACGTCGTGGTTAATCACGACTGTAGCACGATTAAATCCGGGCTGGATGACCCAATGGTATATTCCTCATTTCAATAGGAAATGATGCTGATCGCTCTTGTTTTCTCCAGATATGGTAAATGGCGGTTCCGCTTGATGAGGAACGCTGGTATTCCCGGTCCAGAACCCGACATCTACTTAGGGGATCTTCGGCGTACCATGAGAGATGTAGGCAATTAGGAGCCATAGCTCTTCGGTCTATATATTAATATGTATATTTCAACATTTGGTTTGGACGGAATTTTTATTATAGTTCCCAGACATTTACTCTCCCCACCATTCCGTGGAGTGGTCAGTAAATTTTAACGGAAAACTAATGTAACACTGGTCCATGAATTGAAAATTGACGTTTTTATGTGAACATGTATTCCTAAAAGTTAAAAGATGACCAAGTATATTAATGGAAATAATCTCTACGAAATGTAGATGTTTGTGTATCAACATCAACTAAGAGGTTTCCTTTGTTCCTCAGGTGAGATAATTATACCGTTGTCAAGCTTGATCGGCCACTACATTAAACAGTCATCTATAACCTGTGTGTAACCCATTGCTTGTTGTGCTAGTAGGCTTTATCTAAACTAATGTTGCAGGGTTTCGACCTGGAGAACAAACTGGGCAAGCAGTATGGAGACGTATTCGGGTATTGTATAAATCCATAAATAACACGATAATACTCTGTATATTAGCTTCAATCTATACAGTTTCTTTTTTCTACATTGTGAGTTTTGGTGAGGTGGGATGTCCTTTTGGAGGAAGGGTGATTGTGAGAGGGGGCGGGGGTGGGGATAACCTTTTTGGTCAGACATCTGTGTTATCATTTACTACATTTCCTTAATCATTACCCCCGTCTTAAATAGCATAAAATGGGGGATTCAAGCTCATGACTTTGTAGATTTAAAGTCAGCTGAAATGTCATCAAGGTTTTTTTCAGATTCTGGTTAGGAGGCCTTCCCATGGTCAACGTGTTCGACCCCGATATCCTAAAGGAGGTCCTGGTAAAGGACTTTAAGACCTTCACTGACAGATTGGTGAGTGGCAGACAGTCGGTGGTGAAAACAAACTGAACGGGTTCCTAGCAAATAGGCAATTTTGTCAACGGCATCCTCAGATTGAGATGTTGTCGGCATATACAGCAAATGTATGTATATATATCCTAGGAAGCGTTCATAATTTTTGGCTAAGGGGAAATGGTGATAATTGTAAGGGAAGGTGGGGGCACCCATTTTGTTATGGGCAAGTAAGGGATGGGGTGGGTTTCATCAATTTTTGTACACGTCATGGAGTTTCACTAAGAGGAGGTATGGCAAAATCAGTTGTTATTGCTGTCATGTTCATATGCGGTCGTTTGCCGCTTTAAAGGAGCAATGTTCGTAGAACTAGGGCTATAGGTACCATGTGGTCTGTTCTATTTCATGGATGATCCTTGGGTAAGAGCAAACGAACAAAGCGCATTTGGGAAAATATTTTAGTCACATAAATGCATGTTGGCTTGATGTAGGAAAGGTTTGGACAGACCAAGGTGATGCAGGTCTCGGACCTGTGGCTCTTTGATGAAACCCGTGAGCCAGAGTATTTCACGGACAAATATAAAATTAAAATCAGTTTGTATCGGGATGAGATCCCACTTGGTTAGAGGCAAATATGGTAACACGGTGTTCACATGACATGTTCAGGCTGCTGCTACCTTTAATTGTATATTTGAATATTTCCAGTCGTTTGAACTCGATGACTTCCCACTTTCCACTAATCTGTTCAATGTGCAAGGGGAAACATGGAGAAGACTACGCAACATCGTCAGTCCAACATTCAGCGGGGTCAAGCTTCGACGGGTATGTCACAACGCCAAGTCGGCGTCATTGATGTCAGCTGATGACACAGGGGCGTGTCACGCTAAGAAACAGCGTTAGAAAGACATATAGGTACATAGACCCTACCCTAGTAATATATAAAAGGAAAGGGATATAACGACAGGAGCGTGTCACGCTTAGAAACAGCGTTAGAAAGACATATAGGTATATAGACCCTACCCGAGTACTATATAAAAGGAAAGGGGTGTAACGACGGAACCACCCCCTCCTCAATCAAAGTTAGATTTCACCACGTACACTATTTTGGAATTGCGGAGGAAGCTGTTTTCGGTGAGTCGTGACGTATAACTTTTGAAATAATGATCCGATTGTGACCATTGATAGCTCATTTTGTAGGGAAATCATCTCGCTTTCGATCCGTAGGGTCGACGGGGTCTTAAAAATAGTGTTCGTGGTGAAATCTAACTTTGATTGGGGAGGGGGTGGTTCCGTCGTTACACCCCTTTCCTTTTATATAGTACTCGGGTAGGGTCTATATACCTATATGTCTTTCTAACGCTGTTTCTAAGCGTGACACGCCCCTGTGGTTACATCCCTTTCCTTTTATATAGTACTCGGGTAGGGTCTATATACCTATAAGTCTTTCTAACGCTGTTTCTAAGCGTGACACGCCCCTGTGGTTACACCCCTTTCCTTTTATATAGTACTAGGGTAGGGTCTATATACCTATATGTCTTTCTTACGCTGTTTCTTAGCGTGACACGCCCCTGTGGTTACACCCCTTTCCTTTTATATAGTACTAGGGTAGGGTCTATGTACCTATATGTCTTTCTAACGCTGTTTCTAAGTGTGACACGCCCTGTGGTTACACCCCTTTCCTTTTATATAGTACTAGGGTAGGGTCTATGTACCTATATGTCTTTCTAACGCTGTTTCTAAGTGTGACACGCCCCTGTGGTTACACCCCTTTCCTTTTATATAGTACTAGGGTAGGGTCTATGTACCTATATGTCTTTCTAACGCTATTTCTAAGTGTGACACGCCCCTGTGGTTACACCCTTTTCCTTTTATATAGTACTGGGGTAGGGTCTATGTACCTATATGTCTTTCTAACGCTATTTCTAAGCGTGACACGCCCCTGTGGTTACACCCCTTTCCTTTTATATAGTACTAGGGTAGGGTCTATGTACCCATATGTCTTTCTAACGCTATTTCTAAGCGTGACACGCCCCTGTGGTTACACCCCTTTCCTTTTATATAGTACTAGGGTAGGGTCTATGTACCCATATGTCTTTCTAACGCTGTTTCTTAGCGTGACACGCCCCTGTGGTTACACCCCTTTCCTTTTATATAGTACTAGGGTAGGGTCTATGAACCTATATGTCTTTCTAACGCTGTTTCTAAGCGTGACACGCCCCTCTGGTTACACCCCTTCCTTTTATATAGTACTAGGGTAGGGTCTATGAACCTATATGTCTTTCTAACGCTGTTTCTAAGCGTGACACGCCCCTGTGGTTACACCCCTTTCCTTTTATATAGTACTAGGGTAGGGTCTATATACCTATATGTCTTTCTAACGCTGTTTTTTAGCGTGACACGCCCCTGTGGTTTGGTGGTGAATCCAAACTGCGCATCATAATCTTCTTTTACCATGTAGGTTAAGTATACTTTTAAAATATTAGGAAGTCATGTAAAATATGTACTTACAGAAGATGGAACTGGTCTGTATTCGCAGATGCTTATTTCAGGTATTACCTCGCAAAAACTGATTATATTGAATGTACCTTTGACAAAACTTGAGCATGTGTCTTTATGAAAGTGAGTGAGTTTGGTGTAACGCCACCTTTGAACAGCATTTGAGTTACATCACGGAATGGAGAGAAGGGAGGAAGGCTACAAGTGTTGAAGGGTTTGACAAACCTATATTCATGCGTCTCGATCACAGATTTCAGGTACCCCTAACTGTACTACGTTGCACAGATACGAGTAATTGCGGGGTCTCGGCAGACTGACCTACCCTTAAACTGCCTTCTAAAAAAACATTAGATCTCGTTCTCCATGTAACGGCTGAAGATCCTCTTGCCATCCTTAGCCCATATACAAGTAGGTAAAAGGGAAGCGTAATTCGCTAGCTTGTGTATGTGTTCGGCTAATAGTATAAATCTGTTTTGTTACAGATGTGTGCGGGACTTAACACATGCGCTGGAAAACTAACCGATAACTTTGCTGCCGCCGCCGAGTCAGGGGAAACCGTAGACGTGAAAACGTAAGATGTTCATCTAGATATGCTGGATGTCCTATGGTCTGTCAACCTGATGTTTGGCATCCATATTTTAGCGGTGTGTTTAGGCGCAGTATGCTTGTATGTCTGTATGTGATGCAAATGAAATATACCTGTATTTAATTTGTATCCTTCGGCATAACGAAAAAGATATCAGTTTTAGTGTTTGTCAGAGTGTTAAACAACAGGTTTATGGACTATGAAACCAGTGTGTTCTGGGACCCCGATAAGTGGTTCAAAAGGTTCAATCATCACACAACGTCACATTATGAAAATGTAGAGAAAAAACAGTCCTCCCCTACTTCCCAAGTATTAAAGTCGACCATGACCAACAGGTAATGTACTGCTGTCTGTGCTAAACAATGGAAGTAGGTTGTCATTCGTCTTTCATGTCTCCAAGTATTGGTGGAACCACAATTTTCACAATCCTGACTTTCAGGAACCTGGTCAACTAGTTTCACGCAGGCGATTGGTTAAATTACACCATTGCTGTCATGCGCGTCAGTACTGGATTTGCCATTGGGAATATTGTTTCAGTTACTTTGGTGCTTTTTCCATGGATTCCATCGCCAGCACCGCTTTTGGCATCGACACCCAGTCCCAAAATAACCGTGAGAGCGGTTTCATAACAGCAGCCAAGAAAGTATTTGAGACTAATGTTTTCGCAAACCCAGTGCTGTTCATTGCACGTGAGTGTCAATATTTCATTGAAAACAATTCTTGCCTGATTAAATAACGGAAAACGAAGTAATTTTCAAGTTCTAGAATTTCTCGCAATGTATTCTGTGTTTTAGAAAGAAACACATGTAGATTTTTAGTTGTGAGACTAATGTTTTGGTTGCTTCCATAAATTCAATTATTCGTCAATCCTTGATTTGCTTCGATAACCCAATAATTTAAACTGATCCTCAGTTAGCAAAATGGTCAATTTCGTCAACCACGGAAAGTATTCTACAGTCTTGTTCAGCTATTTTTACCAAACTGAAAACCTAGTTGTTGAAACTGACACAGTTTTCACCTAATTTCAGTGATCTTTCCGAGTGTGCAACCACTGCTAGCAAAACTAGGGTTTTCATCGATACCTCGGGCATCTAAGAATATTTTTGAGAAGACTGCGAAAGATATGATCAAGCAAAGGCGGGAAGAACCGGAGGAAGACCGACGTGTAGGTATATTTGATCTTACGGGTCTATAATATAATATTCAGCCAGTGATGGGGACAGTGCATGGGAGTCTCGTTGATCCCTTCAAGCGCGTCACCAATTATACTACCCATCAAAAGTTTAGACTCACTAGTGTAAATGTAGCCATAGTACTTGTCCACTGTTCTAAACTAGCTTTTTGCAAAATATTCCATACTGTTTAAAGGTACTGTTTAGTTATGAACTGGTGTATTGTAAAACATATTCGTAACATTGAAAAGATTATTGTCATGAGTTCAGTAAATGATTAAAATCTGTGAAAATTGGCGAATTCTTAACAAAACTTTACACCAAAACGAATCTGTTCACATGCACGACATTTGCTCATGCCTTTCGCAATTTGAAGCATCATCCTTGTGCAATTCATCTGCATAAGGTTTTCAGTTGGTTCCCCCAAGTTGGTGGAGAAATTCATCTTCGATGTAACCACATACATATACATAACATATAGTGAGTGCTTTCAGTGAGTCTAAACTTTTGATGGGTAGTATAGATTACTTTAAAAGAGTCATAGTGTGGATGTCTGGCACACATAAACATCTAGCCAGGATAAAATTAGAGTAAGTCTGTTCACACTCTATCGGGTAGTTACAACTTGATGATGGTGATTTAGATAATATGCCAAGCACACAGGGCACAAGGGCAGCCAGACCTTCCCGAACAATGTAGAGTTTTCATTAGCGTTTGAACACGTGGCATGTACAAAGCAGACACGTGTGATATTAGCTTAGTGTTGTTATAAATAAACTACATACAAAGAAATCATTTTGCAATGCTTTTGATAGTTCAAAATTGAGTTCATGCGTGTTTAAATCAAACTCAGTGAAACACTGATGCATTAGATGTTCCCCGAACAGTGGAAGACTATGCTTTCCGAAATCCTTCTCCGCTCCCTGAGGAGTATACAACTCAAACTGCCTAAGCACGCTAGTTATATATTTGAAAATAAGGAATGCTTCCTGTCTATATTTGCATACACTGACAAATGTGACCGTTTCGTGTAATGTTTTCAGCAAATTAAAGAACCAGTTGCTTACTTACAAATATATATACAGAAATTCTGCTCGGATCCGTCTTTAATTATCGAAAGCAGTGTCATTTTCCATCTAATGTAATATACCCGTGTTTGTTACTTACAGTCAGCTTAACAGCTGTTTGTCTTCCTCTTACAGCGGAGGGGTGACTTCCTCCAGCTGATGCTGAATGCTGAGAGTGACGTCACAGAAAACGGGAACAATGACAAATCACATAAGAGTATGTTCATGACGTACAGTCAGTACATATTTAGTATGTAAGGATTGGTTTAAATGGTACAGACGTGTAACGAAGACCCTCGATTGTTAAAAAAGGTTGGCGAACGAAACAGAAGGATGTTATTTACTGACAGCTAATTCGGAAGTAACAAGACATCTATCAATTGGCCATTAGCCATTGGACAGAGGGTTAGGGACCGTTCATAATTTATGTGGTGTGTGTGTGTGTGTGTGTGTGTGTGTGTGTGTGTGTGTGTGTGTGTGTGTGTGTGTGTGTGTGTGTGTGTGTTTGTGTGTGTGTTTGTGTGTTTTGTGTGTGTGTTTTTGTGATGTTGATTTTAAGGGGGGGCACCCATTTTGTTTTGGGGAGGTAGGGGGGTCATCAATTTTGTACACGTTTCTAGAGGGGTCAGCAATTTTGTACATAAAAATATTTAACTTTGTACATGACATGCAGGAGGGGTCACTTACTTTGTACATAAATTTAGGGGGGTCATTCACATTGTACATGATTCTCCATAAAAATCATCACACACACACACACACACACACACACACACACACACACACACACACACTATAAATTATGAACGGTCCCTTAGGCAGCTGATTGTGCTCTGGCGATTAAATGCCTGATTCTGAGGATATGGGTTCGAATCCCGCATGGGACTCAACTCAACAAAAGTACTAGAATCTGTACTTTACTGAGAAAGTGTAAATTGTGTAATCTCAAATATAACATGTTATAATCTGGCAAATTGAAATCAAACAAGTGAGCGGAATCCAGGTCATGCATATTTGTATTCATTTTACCCGTGAAAGGTTCAAAGTGCACAAAGAAAGACAAGTCGTTTTGTTTCTGTGTAATTCTTCTCACAATATGCGCATGCTTTATAACTTCACATGCTTCAAGTTCATTCTCTAAAGGCCACAGGGTGCCCCAGCGTATTTTACTGACTTGACAGTGGTAGCATTGGTTCTATCTCCGTGACATGTATGGAGAAATAGTTCAAACATTTACTGCTGCCTACTCAGAATGGCATTTTGAACTATATTTCCGTACTCTACTCATTTCTTAATTTTATGTCAGAAATGTCAACCGATGAAATGATTGGCCAAGCATTCATGTTCTTTCTCGCTGGATACGAAACTACGGCGAGCACTCTCCAGTACGTGGCGTACATTTTGGCAACTCACCCCGACGTTCAACAGAAGATGTCAGAAGAGATAGATTCAGTCCTCGGAGATGTAAGTCCCACCTCTGTGTGTTGTTCGATCATTTGTCTCCCTGTGATGTAAGTCTCACCTCTGTGTGTTGTGTCATCATTTGTCTCACGGAGATGTAAGTCTCACCTCTGTGTGTTGTATCATCATTTGTCTCTCGGAGATAAAAGTCTCACCTCTGTGTGTTGTATCATCATTTGTCTCTCGGAGATGTAAGTCTCACCTCTGTGTGTTGTATCATCATTTGTCTCTCGGAGATAAAAGTCTCATCTCTGTGTGTTGTATCATCATTTGTCTCTCGGAGATGTAAGTCTCATCTCTGTGTGTTGTGTCATCATTTGTCTCTCGGAGTTGTAAGTCTCACCTCTGTGTGTTGTGTCATCATTTGTATCTCGGAGATGTAAGTCTCATCTATATGTGTTGAGTCATCTTTTGTCTCTCGGAGATGTAAGTCTCATCTCTGTGTGTTGTGTCATCATTTGTCTCTCGGAGATGTAAGTCTCACCTCTGTGTGTTGTGTCATCATTTGTCTCTCGGAGATGTAAGTCTCATCTCTGTGTGTTGTGTCATCATTTGTCTCTCGGAGATGTAAGTCTCATCTCTGTGTGTTGTGTCATCATTTGTCTCTCGGAGATGTAAGTCTCACCTCTGTGTGTTGTGTCATCATTTGTCTCTCGGAGATGTAAGTCTCATCTCTGTGTGTTGTGTCATCATTTGTCTCTCGGAGTTGTAAGTCTCACCTCTGTGTGTTGTGTCATCATTTGTATCTCGGACATGTAAGTCTCATCTCTGTGTGTTGTGTCATCATTTGTCTCTCGGAGATGTAAGTCTCACCTCTGTGTGTTGTGTCATCATTTGTCTCTCGGAGATGTAAGTCTCATCTCTGTGTGTTGTGTCATCATTTGTCTCTCGGAGATGTAAGTCTCATCTCTGTGTGTTGTGTCATCATTTGTCTCTCGGAGATGTAAGTCTCACCTCTGTGTGTTGTGTCATCATTTGTCTCTCGGAGATGTAAGTCTCATCTCTGTGTGTTGTGTCATCATTTGTCTCTCGGAGTTGTAAGTCTCACCTCTGTGTGTTGTGTCATCATTTGTATCTCGGAGATGTAAGTCTCATCTCTGTGTGTTGTAAGTCTTACCTCTGTGTGTTGTGTCATCATTTGTCTCTCGGAGATGTAAGTCTCATCTATGTGTGTTGAGTCATCATTTGTCTCTCGGAGATGTAAGTCTCATCTCTGTGTGTTGTCTCATCATTTGTCTCTCGGAGATGTAAGTCTCACCTCTGTGTGTTGAGTCATCATTTGTCTCTCGGAGATGTAAGTCTCATCTATGTGTGTTGAGTCATCATTTGTCTCTCGGAGATGTAAGTCTCATCTCTGTGTGTTGTATCATCATTTGTCTCTCGGAGATGTAAGTCTCATCTCTGTGTGTTGAGTCATCTTTTGTCTCTCGGAGATGTAAGTCTCATCTCTGTGTGTTCTGTCATCATTTGTCACTCGGAGATGTAAGTCTCACCTCTGTGTGTTGTGTCATCATTTGTCTCTCGGAGATGTAAGTCTCATCTCTGTGTGTTGTGTCATCATTTGTCTCTTGGAGATGTAAGTCTCATCTCTGTGTGTTGTAAGTCTCACCTCTGTGTGTTGTGTCATCATTTGTCTCTCGGAGTTGTAAGTCTCATCTATGTGTGTTGAGTCATCATTTGTCTCTCGGAGATGTAAGTCTCACCTCTGTGTGTTGTGTCATCCTTGGTCTCTCGAAGATGTAGGTCTCACCTCTGTGTGTTTAGTCATCATTTGTCTCTCGGAGATGTAAGTCTCATCTCTGTGTGTTGAGTCATCATTTGTCCCTCGGAGATGTAAGTCTCACCTCTGTGTGTTGTGTCATCATTTATCTCTCGGAGATGTAAGTCTCACCTATGTGTGTTGTGTCACCATTTGTCTCTCGGAGATGTAAGTTTCACCTCTGTGTGTTGAGTCATCCTTTGTCTCTCGGAGATGTAAGTCTCATCTCTGTGTGTTCTGTCATCATTTGTCTCTCGGAGATGTAAGTCTCACCTCTGTGTGTTGTGTCACCATTTGTCTCCCTGTGATGTAAGTCTCACCTCATTGTGTTGTGTCATCATTTGTCTCCCTGTGATGTAAGTCTCACCTCTGTGTGTTCTGTCATCATTTGTCTCTCGGAGATGTAAGTCTCACCTCTGTGTGTTCTGTCATCCTTTGTCTCTCGGAGATGTAAGTCTCACCTCTGTGTGTTCTGTCATCCTTTGTCTCTCAGAGATGTACGTCTCACCTCTGTGTGTTCTGTCATGCTTTATCTCTCGGAGATGTAAGTCGCACCTCTGTGTGTTGTGTCATCATTTGTCTCTCGGAGATGTAAGTCTCACCTCTGTGTGTTGTGTCATCATTTGTCTCTCGGAGATGTAAGTCTCACCTCTGTGTGTTCTGTCATCCTTTGTCTCTCGAAGATGTAAGTCTCACCTCTGTGTGTTCTGTCATCCTTTGTATCTCGGAGATGTAAGTCTCACCTCTGTGTGTTCTGTCATCCTTTGTCTCTCGGTGATGTAAGTCTCACCTCTGTGTGTTGTAAGTCTCACCTCTGTGTGACTCCCTGTGATGTAAGTCTCACCTCTGTGTGTTGTGTCATCATTTGTATCTCGGAGATGTAAGTCTCATCTCTGTGTGTTGTATCATCATTTGTCTCTCGGAGATGTAAGTCTCATCTCTGTGTGTTGTATCATCATTTGTCTCTCGGAGATGTAAGTCTCATCTATATGTGTTGAGTCATCTTTTGTCTCTCGGAGATGTAAGTCTCACCTCTGTGTATCTCCCTGTGATGTAAGTCTCACCTCTGTGTGTTGTGTCATCATTTGTATCTCGGAGATGTAAGTCTCATCTCTGTGTGTTGTGTCATCATTTGTCTCTCGGAGATGTAAGTCTCATCTCTGTGTGTTGTGTCATCATTTGTCTCTCGGAGTTGTAAGTCTCATCTCTGTGTGTTGTGTCATCATTTGTCTCTCGGAGATGTAAGTCTCATCTCTGTGTGTTGTGTCATCATTTGTCTCTCGGAGATGTAAGTCTCATCTCTGTGTGTTCTGTCATCATTTGTCTCTCGGAGATGTAAGTCTCATCTCTGTGTGTTGTAAGTCTCACCTCTGTGTGTTGTGTCATCATTTGTCTCTGGGAGATGTAAGTCTCATCTATGTGTGTTGTGTCATCATTTGTCTCTCGGAGATGTAAGTCTCACCTCTGTGTGTTGTGTCATCCTTTGTCTCTCGAAGATGTAAGTCTCACCTCTGTGTGTTTAGTCATCATTTGTTTCTCGGAGATGTAAGTCTCATCTCTGTGTGTTGAGTCATCATTTGTCTCTCGGAGATGTAAGTCTCACCTCTGTGTGTTGTGTCATCATTTATCTCTCGGAGATGTAAGTCTCACCTATGTGTGTTGTGTCATCATTTGTCTCTCGGAGATGCAAGTCTCACTTCTGTGTGTTGTGTCATCATTTGTCTCTCGGAGATGTAAGTCTCACCACTGTGTGTTGTGCCATCATTTGTCTCTCGGAGATGTAAGTCTCATCTCTGTGTGTTGTGTCATCATTTGTCTCTCGGAGATGTAAGTTTCACCTCTGTGTGTTGAGTCATCATTTGTCTCTCGGAGATGTAAGTCTCATCTCTGTGTGTTCTGTCATCATTTGTCTCTCGGAGATGTAAGTCTCACCTCTGTGTGTTGTGTCACCATTTGTCTCCCTGTGATGTAAGTCTCACCTCTGTGTGTTGTGTCATCATTTGTCTCCCTGTGATGTAAGTCTCACCTCTGTGTGTTCTGTCATCATTTGTCTCTCGGAGATGTTAGTCTCACCTCTGTGTGTTCTGTCATCCTTTGTCTCTCGGAGATGTAAGTCTCACCTCTGTGTGTTCTGTCATCCTTTGTCTCTCAGAGATGTAACGTCTCACCTCTGTGTGTTCTGTCATGCTTTGTCTCTCGGAGATGTAAGTCTCACCTCTGTGTGTTGTGTCATCATTTGTCTCTCGGAGATGTAAGTCTCACCTCTGTGTGTTGTGTCATCATTTGTCTCTCGGAGATGTAAGTCTCACCTCTGTGTGTTCTGTCATCCTTTGTCTCTCGAAGATGTAAGTCTCACCTCTGTGTGTTGTGTCATCCTTTGTATCTCGGAGATGTAAGTCTCACCTCTGTGTGTTCTGTCATCCTTTGTCTCTCGGTGATGTAAGTCTCACCTCTGTGTGTCTCCCTGTGATGTAAGTCTCACCTCAGTGTGTTGTGTCATCATTTGTATCTCGAAGATGTAAGTCTCATCTCTGTGTGTTGTATCATCATTTGTCTCTCGGAGATGTAAGTCTCATCTCTGTGTGTTGTATCATCATTTGTCTCTCGGAGATGTAAGTCTCATCTATATGTGTTGAGTCATCTTTTGTCTCTCGGAGATGTAAGTCTCACCTCTGTGTATCTCCCAGTGATGTAAGTCTCACCTCTGTGTGTTGTGTCATCATTTGTATCTCGGAGATGTAAGTCTCATCTCTGTGTGTTGTATCATCATTTGTCTCTCGGAGATGTAAGTCTCATCTCTGTGTGTTGTGTCATCATTTGTCTCTCGGAGTTGTAAGTCTCATCTCTGTGTGTTGTGTCATCATTTGTCTCTCGGAGTTGTAAGTCTCATCTCTGTGTGTTGTAAGTCTCACCTCTGTGTGTCTCCCTGTGATGTAAGTCTCACCTCTGTGTGTTGTGTCATCATTTGTATCTCGGAGATGTAAGTCTCATCTCTGTGTGTTGTGTCATCATTTGTCTCTCGGAGATGTAAGTCTCATCTCTGTGTGTTGTATCATCATTTGTCTCTCGGAGATGTAAGTCTCATCTCTGTGTGTTATATCATGATTTGTCTCTCGGAGATGTAAGTCTCATCTCTGTGTGTTGTGTCATCATTTGTCTCTCGGAGATGTAAGTCTCACCTCTGTGTGTTGTGTCATCATTTGTCTCTCGGAGATGTAAGTCTCATCTCTGTGTGTTGTATCATCATTTGTCTCTCGGAGATGTAAGTCTCATCTCTGTGTGTTGTATCATCATTTGTCTCTCGAAG